CGTTTCATTATTGATTAGCAATCAGATGTGTCAAAATTTGTAATCAGGAAATGATCTGATCTTATCAAAAAGCAATAACTATTCAATATAATCGAATGATATATCGTTCATCATTAACTTTGATGTATAGATATTTATGATTAGATATCAGGGTGTCTACGATTGCGAATTTGAGGGGCTGCTAAAACGTCTTAGGAGGTCTCGCGGACCGCAGTCGAAGAAACTGAAAAGTGATCAAAATATCGCGAGTTTACTTACTTTAAATATATTAAAGAATCGGAGATCATGAGTTTTGATCACCCTATTATTATGTTGTATGGGTGACGTATATTTTCAATTAAGAAAGAAAATTAAGCCTTTGGTTATTTTAAAATTGCTTCCCGAGAAGTACCGTGGTATTTTTTGTGTTGTTCGGTTTTGTAATGTCGCTTTAAATTATATTCTCTTGTGGCTGGCAGGTATCATTTGAAAGCACATCAGACACTGTGGTTTACACAGTTGATATAGGAAAGAAAATATGTTTCCTCCCAGATTTCCTCTGTCACCTTTCTTTTGACACTTATTTCTTGATGAATTGTTATATTTGACTAATCTAATAGCTTGAAAGGAAGAGCAGGTTTTGTGCTATCGTCAAAGAACAACCAAGTCCGTCCAAGTTGGGCTTTCGGGACTTAACTAAAAAAAGCCAGCTCTGCGTTTCGTCATGGCTGTCACATGGCTCACGCTTGAAAGTAGGGGCGTGATTTTTACTAAAATAAAGTCACAAAACGTGTCTCCAAATAAGGAGTTGCTAGGCGCAAGCTCAGATGCGAAGTTGAGATAAACGCGCGACTTATCTTATCGGCTCGAACTAATGTTTTTCAAAACAGTTCGAAATTTGCAACCAAGCTAACAACAATTGAAACACTAGTCTATGATTAAAATATATGTGTTAATTAGCACATATCAAATGGCGAATTTAGATATGGAGCAATTGAGGTAAATGCATCAAACGACATAAGGGACGTTATATTGAAGCTTATTAAGCTCTGTAGTGATATAGGCATCTTAATTAAACTTGAAACACTAACAGTTGGATGTTCTTCTTCTCGTCTCAAATTACCAAATTTTAACTCTAAAATAAATCTGATTCTAAATTAAGTTGTCGGTTCTTGACTTCGTGAGTAACAAAATTTCTACATGATTGTCTTGAATAAAATCAATCCTGAAAGAGTAAAAAATATTTGAATCCGACCATCCACTTTGAAAAATGGGAAATATTCTTCCCCGTCTAGGAAGTTGAAAACTTTGATTTGTACTCGGTAGAATTCTAAATTTGGCAGCCGTTTTCAAAACTTTCGACGAAGTTTCAAAAATTACTTCTTGTTTTACACTTAACTTTCATTACAAACGAATTAGGTAGAATTAGAAGTTTTTCACATAGCCTTGAAATAAATATATATCATGCATTGTTAATAGAATTTTGTATTTAATCTAAAATAACATCGACAATAAAAAATCACACATGCTGAGACTATTCGAAAGGTAAAGCAATATCAATGTATAAATTGTGTGTTCTTCTATCGTCTTGGTTCTTTATTCAACTTGATTACGGTACGTCAGAATTCATCATCTAAATAAGAGAGTGAATGAAAACAAAACAGCAATGAACAAATATATGTGACCTGAAGATGTAGCATTTGTCAAGCACGATCTTACTTATAACAAATGAAAAATCCAACGGTATTGCAATTTTTCAAAATTTGGTGTAAAACGCATGGCTCAAAAAGTGCAAAAAATATGTACAAAAAATAGGAGCTTTTTCGAATCTAAACTATTGAAAGCAATTAGTAAAGTAGTAAAGGACATGAGTAGGTTTTTGTATCAAAAATAACACTAACATAAACATTGTAGCAATACGTTGCATAATTCTAGTGCAATAAAATGACATTGACAAAGCAAAGGTTGTAACCATATTAATTAAAAAGCACGCAAGTTCAATTTAAGCCTGAGATACTCGATGTGTCGAAAATCTATTTGTCTCAAGTAATTTGCTCTTTGGCCATTTACTAAAGATAATTTCACGTATGCGCTGAACCAGGGATACTACCATAAGTTTATCAAAATGTTTAGTTATCAGTGGCACGTTACAAAGAATATAGACTAAAATACGGAAACGTCATTTACCCATCAAATCTTTACACACGCCATGGTAGCAATAACTTCCAGGAGGGCAATCCATCTGGTTTGCACAATCTGAAAAATAGTAAACTTTCAGCTCTTGTTATCGTCGGTGTACTTTTGCTAAACAACATTTTACCAGAACCGCACAAACCTAGATTTCTTATCGGAGCACATCCCAGGTGACCCCTGCCTCTTGAACCCGCATTGGGGCCCGCAGTTATAAACGCACTAAAATTACTAAAAAGCGTTTATCGGGGTACAAAACAGACACCTACCGTGACCTGGAGTGCGCTACAAATTCAGAGCAAAAGATTGAACACCTCGTTTTATGGACATTTAGTGGAATTTCCGAACTCTTCAGAAACCTGTACTTTAGGTTTATTTGCAGATGTATACATTTGTACATAAAGAACTAAATGCCAAAGTACCAGAATAGGGTTCAAAAACATTTCATGAAAATCTTAGTCTAAAAAATAGGGTGTCTTCGGTTGATGCATTTTCTAAAAGGCTTGAGTAACGGCGTGAGATTACAGATAATGGATATGTCTCTTCTGGATACATCGGTTGAATGCTTGTACTACGCCATATAAATGCAATATTTAGGTTTCCTGATGGCTCTTACTGTTGTACCCCATCAACTGTTCTTTTAATAAAATCATCTACAGATTACATACTGCCGTGGTAATCAGAAGAATCGTGTTAAGATTGTATAATTATTTAATACTCACAGTATACAGCCTTAACTGCAGTCGCGAGAGAAAATACCACACCAATTGCCAGAAATAACTTAAAAATTATTCCAGTAGAATAATATGTGAACCCACTCGTTTTGTTCCTCGTCATATTAGAAAAATTGTATTCAAAGCTTATCTGTAAGCTATATACACCGCGCGTACACGACTAAACGATTACTAACTGCAATGATGAAATTCGAAAAGACAAGAACAAAACTATATTGCCTTTTCGCTCTACGCCTAATATCATTTTTCGGTCACCACAGGGGACTTAATAAGGAGAACATTTGGGGTATTCCCTATTTTTTCCTCGGTTGTTTCACCGGGCGTTTCGACGCCCCGTTTTGTTGTCATGCTTGAACAAAGCAAGCTGGTATTAAATCGTATATTTTGTACTACATCGAATAAACCAAGATCTGTCTCAATTCAATCAATATTCACTTTTCAACAGATTCATGGACGTGAGAATGAATGTCTGTGGCAGCTTTAGAAGGTTGGCAATCCACACTCTCCTAATACGCCACACAGCACATTGAATATTATATGTTCTAATATGTAATTTTATAATTTAGCATTATGACTGAGGTCGCAAGTCAAGCTAACTTCATGAAAAGTACTGCAATGAAAAATTCCTGAAGGCCTAAACCATTGGTTTATATATGGTGATTGGTGAAAATAGAACTGACGCGAATTGGACTTTCATGTTATTGTTGGAAAAGTATAACTTACTCATTCAGTTGTATCAAAGCGATTTTACGGGAGAAGATCTTTATCCAAACCCTGACTTATACAAATTTTGACTCTAACTCTGGCTTGGGACTTCTGGTAGAAAAATCGGTTCTGACCACAATGCTAAAAAACGTCAACAGAGTTGCAACAACTGAAATAAGTAGTTACTAGTTTTCATTTTATCCGCGAATGGAGTTGAATTTAACGATTGTCGCTTTAATATTTAGTTAATATTAGATAGTCTGCTTTCAAAAAACATCGCAACATTTTCGAAACAAACATAAAAAATCACACAATATTAAAATATAAAAAGAATTATTTTGGGGCCAAAAGCACGAAATACCTCCATTGCCAGTGGACATATTGATCTATTTTTGTTTTGTCAATGCAAATTGTGTTACCCCGCTTTCGTACGAGCATCAATGCACAATCTTTTTTCATATTAGATCTCTTTTTTGCTGGACTGAAATTCGGTTGCAGCAACCGAAGGAGTTATTGAAATTAGACGTTATTAGTTTTCTTAACCGAATATATTCACTTTAATATATTTGAGAACATAATGGATATGACTTAAATTGACCAAACAGGCCAGACGAAAACTTTCTTCCCAATTCAAAATCAACTATAGCACGAGTGATTTCCTGCTGTTTATTGAATGTTTCTATATCAACATTGTAAAATAAACAGTACGCCCGTCTACTCGTTTTGAAAGCGCAGGAGTTTAATAATTGGCTTTTCTAAATCAATCTCAGACGACCGTATGCGATGCGCATCACTGTATTTATTTACAGAGCACTTGTTTGAAAACCATCGATGACACTTAAATGGCTTTAAAAGACCTCCGCAAAAGCACATTAACTCAGAGTCAATAACATTTTTTCGATTTCCATGTTGGATGTAACAAACAGACAATTACTTAGCCCTATGAATTTATTCGGACTATTTTTGTGAAACATGTTACATATCATACTTTGAAAATGAGAGATCTGTTTAATTTTGACATCTCAGCAAAATGGGGTAAAAAACAGGAAGATTAAATTTTTGATAAACAAGTAATGGTTCATATGTTAGCTGCATCTAGGATCGGTTCTTGTCCTCCAACTCCGCATACAGTATAGAGTCTATACTATACTATATACTATAGACAATAACTTAGATTTGATATAGTATCGGCAAAAATATCTCAAACCACTGTGTTTAGAAGAACAGATCGTGTGTCATGTTCCAGTAAGAAAATGATAAAACTAAAATAATTTTAGCGATTCTGGTATTCTGTGATAATTTTTTTTTTACATCGTCTTATTGGGAATGTTTGCGCTGCGAGACAGCTTGTAAACTGTAACGCTAAAATAATTACATTTGGTAACCGATCTTAGAGCAGTTAAGACCTTGTTACACACACGATTCGGTGTCAAAATTCCATCTTTTGTCTAAATCGAGGCGAACACAATACCGCCTACCGAAGAGCACAATAGGCTAATATTTACAAAAGTACGCAGAACACCTCGAAGCTATCAAAGATACATTGCGGATCACACTAGGAGAGAACGACGTTCAGTGCAAACAAAGCAAAGAAAAAGCTTTTAGAAATGGTTGAGTGCTGTAGATTGCGAGACGGGAGAGAGTCGGTTGCCAGGCACCAGGCGTCAGGGCAACCAAGTCGACAGGAATCTCGTGGGTCTTATACAGTCACTTTATCACTCCCATTAGCAAGCGAGAAGGCAGTGAAGTTTACTTTATTCTGCATTTCACTTCAATTACATAGATTAGTGTGTACTTGTGACGTCTGATCTAGTTGGAAACACGTCAAAAAGTGAAATATAATGGAGGATACTGAAAGAAAGAAAACAATGATCGCAGCGCGTGAAAGAGTTAGTATGGATTAGGCATTTTTCTTGCATAGATTAGAGACAACACATAACTCTGACTGAAATCTGCCCAATGGTTACTATATTGCGTATTCAATTAAAATATACGTACCTATATGTAAGTACAGACATAAATACAAGTACATGTGTGCGTATACATATATATATATCTTCATAGTGAACAAAAAGTGTCAATAGTCAATTATCAGAAAAAAAAGACTTCACTGAGAAACTACTCATAACCTTACAAAATATCTCGGTGACATATTTCTGTAAGTGTAAAACAATACTTCTGAAACTTCATATATTTTTCGCTATTCGTCTTAATTTTGCCATCCCTATTCTTGCAGTCAGACAAGGCGTACGCCCGTACATGGGCAGGAAAAGTAGTAATTAACACCTTTCACTATCTGTTATAATATAATGCTGGTGATACAAAATCAGGCAGCCTGTCCTTCACATTAATGCCCGTGTGTTAATGTTCTTATTGCAATATATTTGCACATTGGATAACTGTGCTCAAATGTGTATAGTGCCCTTGAATATTAATTTTCGACAACGTACAATGTGCGCAAGGACTTGTATTATAGTAGATAGATATAACGTAAAAGTGATGTATATTTTCAGGTCCTGGGCCTGGTAGATATGGACTTCCTAGTACGGTTGGGTTCAAAGGACATGACTTCACAAAACATCAAAAGCCTTCGTATTCATTCGGAATGAGACTAGACAATTCAAGTAAGTTTGCTGTGTATTGATAATCTGTTTCAAAATGACGAAATACTTTTGCGTGTGTCAATGTACAAGATGCAATGAAAACCGTAACGTTATAGTTATTGTGTTATTGTGGTCCGACGAGATCATAATAAAGGATCTACCATGTGTGGTTGTGCGTGTTTGGAGGAATAAGCATTTTAGCCAAATTGAGCTTGTTTGCTGAAATTCCGCCTATTTGAACGCGAAAAAGCTATCTGTAATCGAATGAGGTGAATTTCGAGTGCTGTCAGGCCGGTGCATATTGCCACATTGTGTATTATGCAGACATTCTGAATCTATAGGGCACCAATTGAAACCGAAATGCACCTTATTCTATCATATTGAATCACGGTCCATGATTTGCAGCATTTACATGCGTGAACAAATGTACTTGTACGTTAAGTTTTACACCGAACCCCAAAATCAGCCGTGTCAACTCATCAACGTAATGATCTACATATTCAAGCTTGATTTTGGTGTACAAAATAAATTTAAAATATACCGAAAAATGTAATTGCGACCTCCCTTCAATATAATTTGAAATAAATTGCTTTTTTTTAATCAGAATGAGATGATTCCTAATGGCCGCTATGTTAAATTAATTTCCAAAATAACTTCTTTGTGAAATTCATATATGGGATAATAGACCACACCACCGATATCTAATATGTATTTAAATTTGGATTCAGCATTTGTTTATTATAACAAATGTCGTCTCGATCGAAACAGTTTTTATGTTATTGAGTCTGCCAACGTTTAATGGCGTACCTCATAAATGGCCATTGTAAATTGGCTTTTCAATGTCCTTGAGGTAACAATGAGCGAAGTTCAATTGTGCGTTTACTTGGAATTTAAGGATTATTAAAGAAACGTAGAAAATTATCTTTTGTAAATCACTTCTCAAAAGACAAGCCCATTGAACGGATTACACTATAACGTCTAAACGAGCTAATTTAAGTAATCGGAATAATCTAAAGAGACTTTCAAGTAGGGCCTGAAACTACTAAAGTTAGCTTTCAATTGAAGTCACGTTTGGGTAATATGAGATGTTCTAAAGTGTCCTCGACTTAATGATTTAAGTCAGCAGGGCCAAAAATTTATTTGCAACAAGAATGCAGATGCCAAGTAAAGAACACTTAACAGATCCGTTTCTCGTCTGGGTTTTATTTACAATTATGGAGTTAGTAACATGGCTAAAAAACAAGCCTAGAAGCTAATTTACTCGAAATACCAAAATTTTTTAATATATACCTCGTACAATTCGATGATGATTTTGGATATGTACCTAACGTTATAACTTGTTCGTAACCATCACAAATGTAAAATCTTAGTAATTTTGTGGATGATTAACGACTATCGCAACCACTTCGTGTAAATATATTTTAATTTCATATTGTGTGTGTGTTGGGACTGAGCAAACACAATAACGAAATAACTTTACTATGAAGAAATGTATAATCTTCATAACATTCAGGCTGCCCAAAACACGTGAATTTCACTCTCGCCATAATAAATTGGGTTAAATAAATGAACTGAACGGAATTTTGTACTATCCCTCACTAATACGCAGCAAAATTGTAATGAACTATATGCGCGCATGTTAATACTTTCAGTTGTCTCTGATAAGTCTTATCGTAATAGCATAATATTATTTACTCAAGGCAGGCCACTTCAATTATCGCAAAAAAGCATGTCCGGTCTTTCATTGGTACTACATTGTTTGGAAACAATAAATTATGTGATCGTCAGGTAACCTTGCGCAAACAGCAACCGTATTTTATCTAAACCTTCTCGTAACATTACTGAATCGAAAGTTATTGAAGAGTTCCAAAATCAGTGATATTTTTTCATTATATATAACAGTGTTCTCTAAGGATGTAAGTCCTGGACCAAAATACCTGATAGAATCTCGTTATACAAGGCATGGACCGGAAGGCGAACCTAAATATTCGATGCTTGCAAGACAGCCAGAATTAAGTAAGTGAATTTCTAAGTAAAACGAATAATGAAAAGCAATCTGCAATTCTTTTAGTAAGAAATAATCTCCTGTACAGTAGTGTTTATCATAGATGTGCTGCGCCTTTAATCAGTAGCATATTGTCATGATATTATTAAAATTAGAACTAGCAATATTTGGATAAAACTGGACATAAAATTATTTGTTCTATACAACATGCTCGAGAATATTAGCAATACCATTTAGTCCCAGTTTCGTTGTAAGCTAAAAAAAAATATTTTAACGGCATATTCCTACAAAAAAGATCATATTTATTACCTCTTGTCATTATACCCGCCATTTATTCCAATAAGCAAACACGCAACAAGTTGCGTTATTGATTAACACTGTTTACTGTTATGGGAGAAAGATAAATCGTTGGATAGAACTCATATTTACGGAAGACTACTCAAATTCTATGTGGTGTAATACAAAAACATTTTTGAAAGTTTTGTGACAGAACCTGTAGAATGTATGTATCACTATGCCTCAATTGAATGTATTTCATCAAACTTGAGTTCGATGTAATTATAGCACTTCAAGCCAAATTTTATATAATCATTTTACAAGCATCTTGCATTTGATTCTATCTTATACCTAGATTATAAGTATTATGTAGTTATGTAGTCTCTAATCAAGCATTCTGTTTTTTCATTTTCTCAACTTTCAATCTGCATCGTTGTTGCGTCAACTTCATCATCATGAAATCATCTCATCTTCTCGGTGTTCTGGTTTTGAATATTCCAATCGCATTTTCTTCATTTTTATTTTCTTTGCTATTTTTATTTTATGCTTTACACAATGGTTATTTCATTGCATTATTTCACGATAAAGGGGGTTTTAAAACACCTGGCCCGGGCACATATGACAATCAACGGGTGCATCCCCAGGGTGAAAGACACGCCCCTAAGTATTCCATGTCTATGCGCACACGATTTAGGAAGCGAGATGCAAATCCAGCTCCCAATGCGTATTCCTTACCCCAACTAGTAGGACCCAAGGTAATCAATAAAAATGCAAGTTCAGCTTACTCCATGACAGGGCGTTCTAAAATTAACGGATTTGATGAAGATTTGGCCCGAACTCCGGGCCCAGCGAAATACGATGTTACTAGTCCCAATGTAAGCCGAACAAAACAACCCCTTTATTCCATGCTAGGGCGAAACGAAATGCCTGGCGATAATACCCGAAAACCTGGTCCCGGTGCTCACTCTCCAGAAAAGGTATACATAAATAAAACCAGAGCTCCAGCATGTTCGATAGGCATCCGGCATTCCGAATTTATTACTCCTCTGATCATAGACGTTCTTGACTGATGTGCATTTTTATGCCATTTCGAAAAACAGGGTTGTGTTGACCAAACAAAAATTTATCGATTGTGAAAAGAAAAGTTAGTGATATGTAAATTTTTTTCTTTTGTCGTATTCTTCAAAAAAACTATTAAATTATAATATTATCAAGTGTTTGAAATTATGTTTTGATACCTCTAAAATAGTGATTTTGTTTATAATTTTAAATAAGTATCAAACCCTATGCCCTTAGCGTTAAACACGAGTTAAGTTATAAGAATGGTCTTATGGCAATGTTCTTTAGGAACTAATGTAAAACATTTACAAAATTTATCATTTGAAATTAAGATTGCTGTAATAATAATTTATAAACATTTTTTTCTTTTGAATGCACTTAGCCGTCCATGACCAAAAGCCATACCTTTTCACCATTGAGATTCATTTCCATATTTAAAAAAATTAAGCCGTACATAATTATCGTGAGTAGAATTTTATCAAGATTAATCCGCCCATTAGTAGAATTTTGATTGGCCTCCAATTTTGAGCCAGATACAAAATGTATATCCGAATTGAATACTTTATAGTGTCCGTCTTGTTCATATTAACCGTCCATACATTGTAAACTTTATATAACAGAATTTTTATAGTTGTTTCATGTATAGTATGTTTCACTTTTCTTAGTGGTCCTTATACTTTGACTTAGCTGAATGTTTGTCCGACTTTATTAGAATATTATCATCTTCAATGAAATTTTTTCTTTGTGAAAAATAAAATATTTCTTTTCCATCGAAGTACGTTGCTGATCATTTTATTTTTTTTGCATGCTAATAAATTTTATCAAGCTTCGTTGAACTTTATGTAACTGCTGATTTACATATGGCGTTAGAATAGCTATCATAACATTGCTAGTGCAATTAGTTTAATTAGTTCTGTCTATTATAGAAAAAGTAGAAGCGTAGTTTTCGAAATTGTGACTTGCCAGTACAGGACACAGAATCATTCGATATATTATCTTTGCAACCAATGTTTTTCCCAATTTTGAAATATAAGAAGTTGAATTTTTCAATGTGACTCGGAATCAAAGGTCGATAGCCTACTGGACCCAATAAGCTTAATCCAAGAAGCCAGCCGTGGCCTTGGGAAATCATTACCCGCGATGATGAGATCGATCCTTGGTACCTGAGCGCATATTATATATATATATCTATGAGTCTGTCTGAGTCTGTACATGAGTCTGTACAAGATCTATATTGTTTATTCTCAATTAGTTTCTCGGAATTAGATGAGCATAGCATTACAAAATGTGAATTTCATGCATCACATAAATCGGGAGCATTTCAGATTTAATTCGAAGGTTTGTCCAAATTTGTCAAAGTTGTCCAATATGTATTATATCATTATTCATTAGACGAGCACAAGAATTCATTCTGATTTTAAATTTTCCCCAATATAACTCGGGATAAAGTTATTCTCTGCTGGAAACACTCAAAGTTGGTCAGAAAAATTGAATCAGAATTTCATAATTGTACTATTCCCACTTTTTCATTACACAACAATCATGCACAGCATAATTAATGTGACATATGCGTCAATTTTTCGTTAATTATGGATCTAGCTAGATTCCTGGCAATCTCAAGCGGCTTGTCATTAATGCCACAGTAAATATCGGGAGGTGTACGAAGTTGATTCATATTCGTAATTAGCTGAGAAATCCTGCAAGGCTCCGATGAATGAAAGGGATAATAAATCTCTTTATTGAACTCGAAGTGTACATATGCATTGTTTTGCTATTTTATGTTCGAATCTGCTTCAATTTTGGATTTTGTTTCCCTTTGGAAATGATGTATTGGCGGCATAATTATTTGCCCGATCTTTACGGTCTATAAACATTCAAATTACACTCGATTTATCTCCAAGTATGTAACATTTGGCTGTATGGATTGCTAAACTCCAACGCTCATTTAAATATGTAGGATTTTGGGTGCTCCTGAAGTATGCGTACCAAGATGGAGAACAACGGAACGTAGTATGTGTGCCAGGTTAGAGTTAGGCACAATTTCATTCCAATTTCCTTATTTTAGTTTTATTACGAGTTCAGGGACTAGCCAAGTGTCTTCCGTAGTATTTGTACCCAAAATTATGGCCTAACCTGGTACACATACTACGTTCTGGTGTACTCTATCTTGGTACGCATACTTCAGGAGCACCGGATTTTGTACACGCTGTGGCAAGTTATGAAAACGAACACTAAGCCTATCAAAACGGGGTCATTGAATGAGACATGGGTCGTGTATTCACATTATGAGCTAACAATTTCAATACCGCTAGTATAGTACGATACAGTTCTCAAAGACTGTCAGTTCTATACAACTACCCACGCATTTCCATCAGTTTTTTCATGCATGAAGTTAATCGATAAATTGTCAAGAAACGAGAGAATGATACCTAGTGAAAACAAGAGCATAAGCTCGTGAGTTGTGACCCTCGGGTGACCGCCCTGTTGCCTCCAAGGGGGCTCAGTTTGAAGAAACCTTTCCTTTCTCTAATGCAAGAGGAATAGTTAGAACAGATTATTTAACAACTTTCATATTCTATTTAGGACCCTTCAACAATCCCGGTCCAGGAACTTACCGGGTGGAATCGGTGCATCCCCAAAACGAGCGATGCGCACCGAGGTATTCCATGTCAGCACGAACACAATATAGAAGATTTGATGCTAATCCTTCCCCAAATACTTACAAGTTGCCTAGTGCTTTGGGATCCAATGTACCCAACAAGCCATCGAGCGCTTGCTACACACTGAGAGGTCGAACAAGTGCGATGGGGTTTGCCGAAGACCTCGCAAAGACTCCTGGTCCTGCTGGATACAGAGTTCCCAACTATAATACGGTAAGAAGAGCAGCTCCTCAGTATTCTCTGAGTGCCCGGTGTTATATGCCGAGCGACAGAACAAAGAAACCGGGTCCGGGAGCTCACAATGCAGAACGTGTATCATACCACTTGAAACGCAGTCCTTCATTTTCTATGGGTATACGGCACTCTGAATTCATCACTCCCTTGATAATCGACGTTGGCTTCAACTAATGAAACTATTTTTGCTTTTCTATTTTGTCATTTCATCACGCACTTCGCTCAAATTTTATACAGTCAGATTGATACATTTCAAATTTAAATGCCTGCTGTTTATTTGCTTTTAAAGCCCAATTTTGTGTCGCGTCGATGTTGTAGTCTAGTCACTCTAGTGCTTTTCTGTTTTATGCCATAAATCAACTGAACACACGAAATTCTTTTGCTCGGAGTTATAGCAATTAAGTAGATCAAGTGAAACACGTTTTCATGGCAAGGGGAGGCGTTCATTCTTGTTATATCAAGTTCAGTTAAACCGAACAAATTGAATACTCGCGTAAAAACTGTTATTAATCGAAACAGGAATGAAGCATATAAACTATACCAGTATTATGAAGTATGGCACTTTCATAAATAAAAGACCAAGGACAAGTTAGACTGTTAGAGTCTGTTAGACGAAGGCATAAAGTTTAAAAAATAGTTCAGTGCGTGATAAACTGTTACAGTTGTTTTTAATGTTCGAATGCTGTATTTGTTTAACGAAAATTAATAGGTGAGATTTTTCATACATACCGGTAGAAACGTCTTAGGTATGAGACCAATCATGAAGAATGGTTACTCGCCTCTGGGGGAACTAGTAGTACAGCAATACTCACGCGCATGGGATTGCAATTTACAGAAATACGACCCGGCATGTGCATTTTCAACGCCGTCCACTTAGTTAACTGCTGTGAAATAGGTAAAAGGCAAAAAAGAACCTATATTACGGACTACGCACATGGCCACTCACACTGCATCTTATGCGATAACAAAATAACACCAACATGGTGGCAAACATTTCCTCGTTTTTTGTGATTTTGCTATCAATTTGTCAGTTTTCAGTTGGATTTACGCACAAATCAACTAAATAACTGGTCATTTTTGTCATGAAGACTTACTTTTGTTGCTCTAACAAGAAATTGGTCCGCAAAAGCTGTGATAGAATTGCTAAATTTAGCTATTAGTTCTTTTAATTGGCAGTGCCGTATTTTATTACTTAAAACAGTGATCTTTAAGCGTCATTTAATGACATATTATATCCAAAAACAAGTTCTTTGCCCTAGCCTGCTTTCATGTCAAAAACTGTCCCTTCGTACTTCGCTGCAATCCTCTGACAAACTGGGTAGGTAGTTCGCGAATATCAAATAATGCGAACACGCACAAGGGTGACATGTGTTCTCCAGTTCTCAGTGATTCGCCAGGAAGGTTTAGAGTAGTACTTTTGCGCAAAACCTGATTTGAAGCATGGTACTGTTAGGTGAACTCGTATTTGTTTGTATGTTATAGGCTATATACCTTCAGGCTAATGGTTGGAACGGGGCTGGGAAAAGTTTCATTTTTTGAAGGCCGCACTCAGAAAATATCTTTTGCAAATGACCGCGTTGAGAAAATAGATTGTTTGACGTCACAGTTACTATTGCCATCCGCTGTGATAGTGTTGATTTGAGATGGTGGCTGACATTGTTGAACCGGAGATGACACAAAAACAATAATTTTAACACTTATTAGTTCAGATAGTTTTAATCTTAATACATTTTGTATGTAGCTGTAAAACATTTGGCGCAAGTTTATAGCCTTATTGATATTCTGACTAATTTGTTTGTTGATTAGAGGATGTTTCCTCTGTTGTCACACGACAACGAATACCACTGCAGCGCCTGCACCGATTCCCCAGTCTTTCAGACACTTTAACGATGCAAAGTCTGTGTTGCCGAAAAGATAAAAGGATAAAAAATTAGTAATATTGCGTAGCTTATATATATACTAATTATCAACAGATTAAAATGTACTAATCAAGTAGGAAACAGAAAAATTATATTAAACTGGTTTGTGATATGGCTTGGGCTATTTAAATCAATTATGTTTACTAGCCAAATTTGTTTCGGCGGTTTATAATTTTAAGAAATTCTGGATTATCTGGTTTTAATACAATTAATATTAAAAACAACAGTCAACGCTTAACAAAATAACAAGATTATTCCTATAAGTGCACTGAACGCTGATTCCCTTTAAAATAATATGGTGGGTACCAGGTAATCCGAACAAAACGTGCGATCCTGCGAAGGACCAGTGCCATGGGAGCTGATTAGAATCAGGAAACACTACCATAACTCGTCTTACCTACTGATAATTAATGCATTAACGATGATGGACGCGGCGGCGGGTTGTATTGTAGACTTTTTCAAAGGGCAGAGGACCGCACGAACTGCTTTTGCGGACCGTAGTTTGCTTCCTTCCTAGTTTGCCTTCCCTAGTTAGAATAAGCATTGCGGTTCATGGCGAAATGAATAATTGGAACCGAATGGATTCGGACGAAAATTTTGAATCATAGGCATCTTGTCTTTTTGTCCGCCAAAGGTCAAGTTGAATCCCCAAATCTCTTACATCGAGGCTGTATTTTTAAAACGCAATTGTGAAATATGACTTTTTTCTCCCTTGATGAAACATGCTTTTTATTGTGCGTGAAACTGTCCGAATGACAGTATTAGAGATTCGATTAAAAAAATACTCAATTCTGAAATCACCAGGTATTCGAAAACGCTCAACTGGGTTGGTAAAAAAGCCTAAATCAAGCTATCATTCCCCACTGGATTTAAACCAGCGAACCCATCCAGGTTTATTGGCAAAAGGATATTATCATTGTTACCATATGAGACTAGCTCAAAACAATCACTCGAAAGAAATACTGTACGAGGTTATTTATTGAACACTGTTTCAACTGAGACAGCAGTAACCGAATATTCAGAAAATGATGGATCTTCGCCGACCATAGTTCTTATACAACAATGAGACAGCAGAATAAGTGAGAATTTTCACTCAAATATGAATACAATATTGACCATATATCATTTTTAAAGCCTTGACCTCCCTTTCTGATATGGAAGGAAGATTGTGCCAGTAAGAAACGGATTATCGCAAATTTAATCATAGTAAAGTCAACTTATTACGAAAGCCACATTTTTTTTAACATTTGTGTAAGTGTAAAGCAAAACCTAAATCAATCGAAATTTTTTAAATGCTTTCGAAAATATTATATGCTTAATAGAAGTTGAATTGAAAACTGTTTTCCTTATCAACCAATATAATTTGTTTTGTGTATAAGCATAAGTAAAAACAGAAATTATGAACCCTACTACTTAATATAATACATTACTTAGATTTAAGGTTAAAAACAAAATCAGAATTCTTATGTAAGAGAAAATAGATATCATTTTGCGATCACATCTAACTATGATTCCAATGTCCTTCATAATTGTAAATTTGCTTCACAGGACCAGCCTGAATCGTTAAAACATCAAAAAAACATGGCATAAAAAATATTGAGCCATGTAAGTATTCAAATGAAAAATTATTGTAATTAAATCAATAATGTGAAGTATATATCACCAAGAGACAAAGTGCTAGTTGAAAAAGTTATATATTACCGCCAATTACATTTAAATTTTCTACTCGAAAGGACCTAGTGGGCTTCCAAATTTAGGCATGCTTTTTAACAATAATATTTTTAAAAATCAACCAAAAGCACAACTAGAAACGAAAATCAAAAACTTTTGAAATCTCGAACTTTTGAATTATATCTTATTGATAATATTAATACTGATAACTTTACGCTATCGGAACTATTAACTAGCTTGCCAATATTGCATTTGTTTTGGGCAGAAATACTCCGTACACATGTTGGTTCACCCTGAACAATTATGTATACTTGAAGATCACTGACGACCAAATACTTGTTACTAAGAGCAAATGAAAAGATAGTCTATACATAAAATGCATCATGCATAAAGTCTCCATAAATATAATAAAATTATTCTCTCATAATTACCTAAGTAGAAACAAGGCATTAGATTTGAAAGAAAAAAGAACATAAAATTACAATTTAATACTAATTAATGAAATTGTTATACCATTTCATGTCGAATATAATCACAATGGCCATGTAAATTGGATGGGACTATGTGAGACCTATTGAAAAATATTACTTGGTCTGACAAGGTCGCATTCAATTTGAAAAATAATACATTATAAATTATTTAAACATGCCAAAACATTTTGACACTGAAAACTAATTCTTGACATGAGAAATAAATCAACGACGCTTTGATTGGCAGATGTTTGCTTCAAAAAATTATTGTTGAGTGATAACGCACTGATCTCCAAATTGGAATCGATAATGTTGAAGATTCGATATTCCATGAAAATGTACAACAGCAGCCAATACAACAAGAATGTGGAATATTTGATGACTTTGAAACTGAAAACATTAAGATAAAATTGAAATTCTCTGCATGGGAATTTTCAGAATGAAAACTATACAATTAGGAACATCATGCTCATCCACAATTTCCAAATCCAAGAGATATTTGAAAGACAAAACGCAATATTATCACCATATTTAAATTAATATAGAATGTGATATTTTTGTGGCAAACTGTTTATCTGTTAAATATTGTTTTAGTATAAGAAAGGGAAGAATAAAATCACAAAACCAAATGATTGAAAATATTTATAGCTAAAGTCTTGAAAATTCTTATGGGTTCAAATATCTGTAGGTGCAGTAATATGCAGGTGCAATTGTCCTGGGTTCAAATTACGAGTTCGAATGTACGTGGGTTCAAATGCAATGAAGCAGTTAAATATTACATCCATTCAGGCTAAACATGAAATAATATTTATAAAACTTACCCACAAATCACATTTTCCTGGAAAATACTTTTCAGGAATTCGCTGTGCATAGAGAAAGGCACCTGGAAAAAAACATAAAAACTTAGAAAAAGGGGTATAGTATCTTTTTGCAATTAATAAGAGAAATATGAAAATATTTGTTGTTATAGGTTGGGCAATATATCCATTGTTTCATTCTCCGATACTAACAAATTCACATTTGAATTTGGACAATAAGACTGTTGAATAAAAAGAGGTACCTAACTAAAAGTTGTACCAATAGCAGATTTGGACTCAAGTGATTAAAACATTCGAGTTAAAGCAGCCAGTCAAAGTCTGAGACAACTGTATATATGGAATATTATTCTGCATTTTTGATATAAAAATATTCATTCATAACTTTTTCTTCTACAACTCTATTTGTTATGCAAATTAGATGCGTTTTTTTATCTCCAGCTTATGCAAATTAATTGAGGGAAGGATCACAAAGTACAAATTTCCTTAAACCTTACCGAATAAATACAAGAAAGCCATTAGAGACAGCCATCCTACTTGTCCATAATTGACAGCTTGCATAAATCCCATCTTAATAATAGTGTGTATACATGGTACAATTCCGCTCAATCCCAGAGCAGCAAACAATACTGAATAAGAAAGAATATGTGAACATTAATATTTCTTGTATATAAAAGTACAGAATATGTTCTATAATATAATTCTTCTGCTGGTTGATAAATGTCCTAAAATTGTTGTATAAAGCAGGGGTAGCCAACACATCGATCGCGTCACCACGCCTGAGAATTCGGTAACATACCTCAAAATATTGCCTTGGACCAATTTCATCCAGTGCATGTTGTGTGCTTTAAAACAGGAATAATACAGTACTGTTTATGCGCAAAATACGATACAGATATAGTAATTGAGCTTGGACGAGGCCGATAGAGCATATCATTACATAACAAAATCAAGTTTCGCCGCTGCCAATTTTAGGAAATGAACTTGCTCAATATCATGTGCCTTGACTGAATAACAATCGTACAAAAACACGCAATATAACACCTCGTAATGGCATCAGAATTCCTAAGCGAGCAGATAATAGGACTCTGGAGAAAATGTAAATTAGAAAGTTTGAGCAGTCATGTTTGGGAATATTCATTTTTCGCTGTTCAGATAATATGTGCATACTTAGCCAAGTTTTATAAAGAATGTTCAACACTTACGACTAAAAATTAGACAGGTCCTAAGTCTGAATTGAATAATTTGGATGATCTCAAATGAATGATCAATCATGAATCATTCACCTCGGGTACAATTACATAATCAAATTTACAAATTAAATGGAACATAAAAAAAAAAAAAATTTATTGCGATTTCATTGGGAATCCAAAGAACCAGGCTTATTGGCAGTGGCGGAATTTTTTGTATGCGTGTGTGCAATTATTTGCATATTCGAATTCGTTTGTTTTTGTGTGCGATCTTATTACCGATCAGTCAATCGTATAGGCTATTTTGACAATATCAGTCGATCGTGGTCGCAGGTAGGTTGGCCAACCCTGATATAAAGCATAGGATAAATTAATCATTACATGATATTTTACATGATGAGTCACTTCCTCATTACAGCACAATGTCATCCCAGTCGCTTTAGCCAAAATTTATGACAATTATTACACAGAACACCTTTCAAGTTGTGTAATACCAATTTGAAATTAATTCAGAAATCATTTTGAAACCCATCTTTAGCAGTTAATATAATTCAGAAACGTCCTTGATGTTATGAAATAAAAAAAATGTAGGTCTTTAACTATTTGGGCAAACCAGACAAATTTGTTCAGCAAATTCAGAACTCTGTCGTGAGTTACCTGCTCTGACTCTCCTGAATCTAGCTGTGCTGAATTTATCCCATTGTGAAATCACAATACATAATACACCAAGAACACAAACAGATGTCATGTATATTATCTGAATACAAATGAGCAAACATTTATTGATATAACATTCTCTAAAACGATGTATTTTATAAATAAAAGAACGATATTAAAGGTTTTTTATAGAATAACTATTTTCAGTCAAATATGATTTCGAAATAGAGTTTTCAAGAATTGCAGAGTTTTGAAAAAATGGTAGTATTGTCTTTCACCAAATATTAAAATTGTCAACTTTTTTATTAGACAATCACTCTAACATTCAAGGATCTATTACTAAGGTTGGAAATGTGAAAAAAAATTCAGTTTGGCATGGTTTACAGTAACCTCACACATTTTTTTTAAAGAATAAATGATCTAATTTGCAAATAAATTTCTGTCAAATCATCATTACTTAATAAATCTAATATTGATACTATTCAAATATAGAATAGTTCTACCAAACACTTAATAAATTTCAGACCATGGGCAGGCATCAACTCAATAACTAACTTCCTAACATTTCACTATAAAAACTAAACCTACCTTTGGTTCTGTGTCACAATAGAATGAATAATAAATCCATGGTACAAATGATCCCATAATCATCAATGCAATCCCAGAATAATCAAGTCTGCAAATGGAAGAAAAAAATATGAATCCTCAAATTAGCTTTTGACGACTCTTCAGAAAAGATCTTTTCATAGAATGTTGTTTCAATACAGATTCCAAAACTAAATTCACATGTGATTTAGATGTAATCTCAAATAAAATTTTCTGCTACATATTATATGCTGATCCAAGAAAAGTAATAATGTAGCTAACAATTTACTCTCCATTTATTTTGATATGAAATATTCCCTCTTGCTTCATAATATCACAAAATCGCAGCCATTCACTGCATAAAAGTACAACTGTAAAACGATGACGATACAAAAGAGGGCCTATTACAGTAATAAATTTTCAGTAAACTAAATATTCTCAGCAATTTTTTAATGTTACTCACTTCCCAAATATTCTATACACTCGTTCGCTATGGCAACCAACAGTATGAAATAGTGTCGAGAAGCACAGACATAAGATTGCTCCGAGAAAAAACATTGTGAATACTGTTTTCTCTTGCCATTCAATGACAAAATATTTTCCAGGTAGACATTGAAAATAGATACAAATTCCAATGAACATAATAAAACCTGTAAAACATATGAAAATACTCTTTTTAGCCATTTGTGAATGTTGTGACTGTAAAAATATTAATATGACATAGATTATACTATTTTAGGAATGGCTTCTTAAACTTGAGTGCTCTCAAATGATATATTATCATGAGCACTAAATGTTACACAAACATGATTTTATTTCCAAATTCCAATATATTTTTAATGACTTATGTATTCTAGTCACATTCTAATCAAGCCCACATAACGAGCACTCATTGTGACATCACAGCCAGATGCTACATGATTAGGATTCAGCCAATTACTGTTTTACTAAACAGGAGGTTGCTATGAAATTAGGAAACACATCATGTACAATTTTCAGCTCAGATATGTATACGGCAACATTGAACACTGAAGAATGAAGAGAATTATTATTTCCTTTCATTATTCTGCAACTAGCTTTGTGAGACTCTTAAAATTTGTTTAAAAAAATATATTTTGACAGGGAATTCACCTATTAAATGTGTCCAAATGTTTCCAGTTTCTGAATGAAGTCTGAATACTGATCCAAAGCATGCTCGAAAGGATGGCATGGGCGGTCTGTGCCAATGGTGTAGAAATTCATTGTCTCTCTGCCAATCTGGAAGTTGAAAATGAGATACAACACGCCATCTAAAAGAAACATATGCAGCCCTCAATGTATGGATTTCATACAAACAAGAAAGAGTTTTACAATGACATTTCCGGTAGTACGGAAACACAGCCATTCCCTCCATTGCCAAAATGGGTCACAAAAACAAAATAAAGAAAATTTTATGAAGTAGCGAACCATATCATAGGATCCATTATCATAAGTTAGCCATTACATTGTCATAGATACTCTTCTCCCTTTCAGTCATTCTCCACTCATTCGACAAACAAACAATATAACTCAGATGGTGAATAATAAAGTTTAGCTTCTTTCTTTCACAATTCTCACTTGCTAAAATCTAACAGCGCAACTTTTTGTTTTGTCTCGCTTTCAGCAGTAGATGAAGATGATTCAGAAGATTTCCGGCTTGATTTAGCTTGAACATTAGATTTCACATCTATCCATAATTCATTAAAAAGATCAGAAAAACTGGCGTTTCTGTCTTCATTATTTAAATGGTTATCTTGATCTCGAGACATCCTACACCTTCTATTTCTGAATTCTGCATATTGCATGGTTTTATATAATCCCAAGTTAACTCTAACATCACTGTATCCGTTGTTCAGAACCCATAATACTAACAAAATGATCTTAAACAATTTCCTACTATTTCCAGAGTTAAAAATATCAAAAAAAACATAACTAATTAGTACACATCAGTGCTTAATATCCAGAATCTGACTACACGAAATCAAAATAATAATGGAATTTTCAAAATTGCTATATCTTAAATAAAATACCTAATTGCAACTAAACAATGCTTCCTATGATGTAACAATGGATATTAAATTGCAGCAATCCCAATAGCTGAAAATGGATCAGCATAATAAAATATGGTTATGTAGAAACAAAGATAAAAAAAAACTTGGTATTAGTCACTAATGACCTAAAGGAAGTATGTATGTATTGAATCACATACACAAGGACAATAAATTTAAAAACATGAGCCCTTTCCGATTGTCCAAATTCACATAAATTCAGTTACTTGTAGTCATTGTACAGGCAAGTTTATTGAAAAAGCTTACTGCCAAAGTATATTACATCCACCTACCACCTATATACATGATGAAAGTACAACTACAAATTAACAATGACTATGAGAGAAAAAACAACCTATTTACTGACAAGCTCAGTTTAAACACAGACAGTATAGAACAGTGCTTCCTTGTTGGGAACCTATACAAAATGGGTCGCGAAGTATTTCCAAATGTTACAAACAGTTTTCGATGAGATTGGAGAAATTGTGGCAATATCATCAAGTAACAATTCTCAAAGAATGTAACAATTGGAACTATGCCTCGTGTCCCGTTAATAATTTCAGTACATGTTGGAAATTGTACGTAGGCTACATGGGAAGATTATTTATTTGTAATTTCCGCTTTATGCAATCGGTAATCCTATGTCCAATGAGTTGCATTTCAGGTATTGGCTTAACAGGGTTAATATACTTCATTTTAACACCCTAGCTTTATTTGTTTGTTTTTTAATGAGAAAAGGTAACAAAGTATGAGAAAAAAGGTTGGTTCGAAAAATTGTAGTGAGAAAACATGACACTGATTACATAAAATGTGGTTTCATTAATGCATGAAATGACTGAGCCAAAAGCAGAACATGTTGAGTGCGAATGCTACGTTGCGTATGAGCTTGTCTTTTATCAAGCTCCGACTTGATTTGATAATATCCACTATACAAGCTCATGTTTCGCATTAATAGTAAATTGTAAGGGTGAACATTGTTTTTTTTTCTAATAAATCAACCTCTCATTGTAGGTCGTACAAAGAATGGCAATTAAAAGTGGGTTGCAAACTGAAAATAGTTGGGAAGCACTGCTATAGACTGTTCATGTGAATGTTGGTGAAATAACAGGATTGATTATGATTCAATCAATTTAAACATTTGAAATGATGAGAAATGGATCACACAATTATAGTGTTAAATAATAAACTTTAGTTTAGTTTTAGAGGTGACTTTAAGTTATATTTTATTTTATATAGTATACCACACATGCCTCTATCTATTAGCCTTATTTGGATATGAAAACTATTCTTTCCTATTTTTCTACATAGCTGTAACTCCCTTGAATATTAGCATTTGAAACACAAACTCATAGAATTATTTCCATAAGCTACTACCCACCTTCCATCCCAAACTTTATGTGCAAATCTGTCAACACTCTCAAAAGCATTTTGCAATGATTCTTTCGCAGTTTGCATTGATTCTTCTACATAACTCATTGCGTGATGGACGGAATCTTGGACGACATTAGACGATGACGTTGCCGCAGCTGGGTGAGCCAAATTCAAATAAGAATTTAAAAATAAAAGCCTATAAATCTTGGGCTCTTTCAGTGAGAACATATTGAGGTGAAATTCAGTCAGAATTTTCACATATAAACAGAGCAAAAGTTGATACATTATTTGTCCAAACCACCACACTATGAATTATATTCACTGTAAATTATTTCTCTTCGATTACTGAATATTAAAATACTTTTAAACCAATTTAATTATAAAAATGAATAGCATATAATGCAACATGTATTTATAAATAGCGCTATTCTAATGACCGACCGCATCATGTCACCAGACATATGAGCTATCAATAACATTAATTACGCAAATCGATGTATTACCGTACCCCAAATCATGGTTGTTTATCTCCGAAACCATTGATATATGCTATAATTTGAACAGTAAAATGAATCAACCTCAAGTCTATTTTTAATCATTTTATTTCACAAAGATATTGATCTGTTTTATATTTGAAAATTTGTAAATAATAAGAAAATACTTCGTTATTGATCAGATTAAAATAAAGCGAGATTAAAAAGAGTACAATATTGATACTTTACCTAAAGGACAATGCAAGGCTTCACTTTCTTCAAGATTTGAAGGTGATGATGATCTTCCCTGATTGAGTAAACATGAAAGAAATTAGAATATATCACATGAAGTGATAATGCATTATAACTACAGTCATCCGTGATACCTACTTCCATATCACGATGTCTCAAATTGCTTCTGGAATCCATATTGTAAGATTTAAAATTAACTAAAACAAAACCGTTGACAAACGTTAACAAAAATATACGTTTTCTTTCTGGTGGCTATTTGATGCGTAACTGAACAATCTATATTCATGCATATAACGAATGTAACAACTTCCCAACCAGTTATGTGAGAGGCAAATAATGTCTGGGCTTATATAACTAAAACCAATAGAGAGTACAGTCATGGGTCCAAATAATATTACGACATACTAATATAAAGAGAGATACACATAGCTAATGCAAACATTAATTTATTTTTAGAGCTGACAAAGCTGACCAGCAATAAGTATGACAGCATCTAGTTTTTATGCTTTTTATCCATGTCCATTGATAACTATAACTACCGAAAAAAAAATACATTATAATATTAAAATAAAAGCTTGAATTTTAAAAACATCACTATTTATTATGATGCAATTGTTGCAATATAAAATCGTTGTTACAATCAAAAGGTACCAAAGTCTAAATTTTTATCAACATTCGAAATGTGGTTACTTTATATAAAGTTTGAAATATCTGATGAATAACAAATAAAACTTTAAACAGAGGCTACAGGTTATGTGTTACATAACTTCTAAATATACCAGTCAGATAAGAAATTAATCATCAACTAATTGTTTAAACAAGAACATGACAATCTCTTTTATATTTCACAGTCATAATAATATTAAAATAATATTAAAACCCAAATAAAGAGAAAATTCATGTGGTAGCCAATACAGGACAGTGATTTTCTTTCTATATCAGAAGATAATTATCTAGAAAATTTACTGTTTTGGCCAAAAAAATTGTAGGTTTTTGATACACAACAAAATCAAAATGAATTAGTCTGCCATCATGAATCATGATTATGAAAGAGAGCAATGTAAGAATAATTGGACAACCCAATTGCCCTTGTTTTCTGGTAAATTATTTACCCAAGTATGAGATACAACTCATACTCATCATGACTTCATGATTTACCACATAGGCTTCGCATATAAGCCGACCCTACGAATTGTAACACGCCGGAGAAAGACGCAGAAAGAAAACAAAATTACTGTGAATCTGTAACACAAACATTTTTTACGTTTATCGTTTCTGCCTGTTAGCGAGGGTCGTAGGTGGATTCTTACTTGTAAATTTATGTTAATGAAGTCTATATTGCTTTTCAATGCGTCATGATTTATATTAATGGAAGGGATTGTGTCGGGAGTTTAAAAGAAAGTTCCTGAATCAGCATAAAACAATTTTATTTGATCACCCACAACGTGGGTTAAGTTCGACCCCCCAGTAGGTGAGGAAAGGCTCAGTCAATGTCAGAACTAGCCATATGGCTCTTTCGCCACCACTTATCTGTGCGAAAAATCTTTTTCGACACAACTTATGTTAAAACAAAACATTGGCCAGTACTGATAACCATCATCGCCGAAACAGAACAAAGCTTCAATCTTTTGTGCGAGAATATGCGAGTACATCTTTCTGATTAAAGTTACAGAGGTCCGCAAAAAAAATAAAATTGGCCATTGGGTTAGGTCATGTTGAAAAAAGTTTGAAGAACACTGATCTACAACATATTAAATTTACCGTTGCAGTCAAATTGGGACATGAAGTTGACAATAGTGGTTCAACTTCCTCCTCATCTTCACTTGAAATATATCCCAGGTTATGAAGTTGTGTATCATACATACTTGTACATCTAAAATTAAAAATAATTATTCTAATTTGTTCACAAATCTAGATAATCTTGGTGAGCAATGGACTGAATTCTCAGTGGGTAAAATTAGACCACAAAATAATTCAGCCAATTATATTGTCTAATTGACAAATTAAAATGCTTAAAATAATTCATAAGAAATAACTGTTGTATTTCTTAACTGTCATATAAGTCTAACCAAACAAATTCAAAATTAAGAAATATAACTCTATTATAACATTGTTAAAACCAACATTAAATATATGATTCAATTCAGAAAAAGTATGCTCTTGAAACCTACCTATTTTTCCCTTGTTTCATGTCAGTTTGATTCGTTGCATCTTGTAAACTTTGGTCCAGAGCGCTGTCATCAACTAGACTAAATGCCATTATGACAATAGCAGAAGAGTATTGGAAACAAATACTTAATCTAATTAAACTTCGTTTGGTTATTATATTAAATTATTTCTAAAAATAGATAAAAGAATATGGACATCACAACTTCTCAGTTTAAATAATGCTATTACGCAGAATATATCGGAACAAGAGGTAGGTGGAAGATAAGTGTATAATTCAGTAACAGTAATAAAGGATGATACAATTGATATCGAGAGAATAATTTACGTTTGTGACTTAAAAAAGCTACCAACCATAGGGGAAGCAATGTTGAATACCACAAAATAATTAACACATAATATAACAGCTTTCATATACCTGGTCTATATGGGTTAACCAATCTGGTAAGCTGATTGAGTGCTGTTTATAAGATAATCTGCAATCAGGTAGCACTGCAAGGAAGTACTTAATCTCAATGCCAGATGAAAGACTTTATGCTGATTTTCTACTGATTAACTTAACTAATGTCTGTCCGAATATACATAATCTAATAATAATCTAATAAAACAGAGGTAGATAACCACAAATGTTGATAGAAGATGATTCTAAGTTTAAGTGATATAATCAGTTCAACAATCCGTCCATGTCCATCATAATAAATCGAATAGGATAAGAGAAATATAAAAAAATAACAGCACTTATAAATGTGAGGCTTCTCAAAAAATTTGAGATTGCAGTGCTAGATCTAACTAGGGATGCGAAGAGTCCAGAATTTAATAGCTCATGCACTCAAATTGGATATTCTGAGTCGTATCTCGTATTTCCTTGCCAATTGATGCTGAACCATTTCAAGGATATATTCTTTGCGAGTTGGTTGGCTATAATACAAACACGAATGTACTGCAGTATGCCTTGTTGTAAACCGACCCACCGGTTTCGATGAATTCTGAGCGTCTATTTGGGATAGAATGGTGTTGTATTCCGTTGGTGATGAACTTGGCTCCGAGCGAAATTTTGTAGCTTTCAAAAAAATTCTTTTTTCCGGAAGAAAATCAAATGTAATAAACTTAATTTAAAAGAGTTATTGATGATATAAGTCCTTAAGTTGATAGCCTACCCTTTATATTTTGTGTTTTATTAATTTGATATGCATGAATAATAACAGTGATCGTGGAAAAGCATGGCAGACCGAAAACTCGAATACATTGTGCCATCACATCCATTTAGTTCATATATATAAGAACAACGTTTTTAATCGCACCAAAAGAGTAAACATATCCAATTACTTGGAGTTCATCATAGGTACTCGTTGTTTCATTGCGGCAACATTGACATTAGTGATCAATCTAACAATCTTATTTCAACTAGAGCGGAAATACAAACAAGTCAGCTGATAAGTACAAATTTTATTTTTTTTCGGTACACTCAATGAGTGATTTTAATTTGGTTTAATATGAAAAATGTACAAAATAGGGAGCAAGTTTACTAATCGGTGTTCCCTTTCTGCCTTTCCAAATAATATGGCGGGCACCAGGTAATCAAAACGTAATGTGCGATTAAGCAAAGGACCAGTGCCAAGGGGGCTGATTAGAATCCGGAATCACTACCTACCAGCGAAAGCGAACAAAATACAAACAAAAGGTCAAAACACTGAAAAACCCTATGCCATTAGTAAACCAATATATAATCCTATTCAATGTAAAGAATGCCCTCGATAAAAAAAAATAGATGGAAACTTTGATTGCTAGTTTTTATGTGCAGCAATTGGACTGCCGTCAAATTTTAGTATCTGCATGTATGCGTGTTCTAGAATTTGTTTTTTGTGTTCGTTTTGCAATCTCTTCAATCACATGTGAATATTGCCCAAATGCGTTGATTTGACTGAAACTGTTTGTGTCTGACACACTATCAACTTTATTATCATTTTTGTAACTTTTATGTGTGAAACGCCCCAGGAGCCTTTTACTGCTGCTCATCGAGTCTTTTGATTATTTCAGTTTTAATAAATATATTATTTGTGTACTTTTGGTAAGTTTATTCTTAAGTTTTGCTCGTTTTCCAGGCATCTCTGTTATAGACTATGCTTCGTTAGTTTCATCAAGTTTTGTGTTTTCAGAATGCCGAAATGAATTGTGCTGTACCGCAATTCGTCTTACCGTACCGGTACCGGTAACTACCTGAAAAAAAAAGACAAAACTTATCATAAACATCTTAATTTCATATTTAAAATAATGCTTCGAATACCGTAATTTTTGTAATTACTTTTCTAAGAGTTTGTCTACTCTAGAATTTCCTATATTTGTTCTCCACATTATATTGCATTTTCATACCTGTCTCATAAACTTTCGCCCTATATCAAAAATGAAATCCCGTATCCGACGTCGAAAAAATTTATCCTGCCAGTCTTCTTCAATGTCACCGACAATGGTAAAGTCACAATGGTCACATGACAAAAATTTGCCTGATACAGTGTGGTGCTAGGTGTATCTTCACTTTCTTAAAGTATGGCACCAGTACCGGTACCGTAAATTCGTATTTGCTGTAATACCGTATATTCTCAAAATGAATGGATATCGGTACCGTATTTATAATTAACTCTGTAATAAGTATGGCACCGGTACTATCTTACCTAACAAACTCTTTTTATTTGATCAGTAGCCATTGTGCTCGGTTTCCACTGGGGGCGAATTTTGCCAAATTAGAATGTTTACTGGTACGAGCTCGATATGTACCGGTACGCCAGGGGCAAAGCGGGTGAATTTTCAACCATAGTCCTGTAGTCGCGTGTGCACACTGCAGCTCTGCTGTGATTAATGGATTTCTGGTGCGATATTGGCGGGTTGCGCGTATAAACTTACCGGTATAATTCCCAGATCGGTCTTTAGAATAGATTATTTTTGAAGCGTTCCACTGATCCATCGCAGTATCTTATTGAAACCATTCCAACAATTTGGTTCGTTCTAATTAATATCTGTATGGGGTATAAATGTGCACCTGTTGTACAATTGTGCCTCCGGAAGGATTGTAAAGTTAGTTCAATAGCTCATTTATATAATAACATTTGTTTCACTATTAGTTTCCAATATCTTTTACAGTATTATACAAATTTATAATGGCATCCAAGAAGAGAGTGAAACATCATGGAAGTTGTCATTGCGGAGCTGTCAAGTTTGAGGTTTATGCCTCTGAAGAATTATATGTTTATGACTGCAAGTAATTTTCTCTTGTTTTTAGACATAGAACACATAGCCTACTTGAAATATTGTCACAGCATTTCGACGATTCATATATTATGTTATAATACCGCTTCAAGACAAATTTCTTTCATTCTTATGCAACAGTTAGGCCTTATGACATCAATATATATATTATTGACAGATATGCCATCTTTTAGAATCAATCCATAGATTTTGTTAGAAGAGCGCAACAGACTAAGTCCTCATTGAACCATGTTATAGCATTGTCATTACTTTCTCTCAGTTGCAGCATTTGTGTAAAGAAACACAATATTCACTTCATTGTGCGGGAAAAGGACTTTGAGCTAATCCAAGGATCTGATGCTTTGACCACTTATACTTTCAACACAGGCGTTGCCAAGCATATGTTCTGTAAAATGTGTGGGGTCCAGAGTTTTTATAGGCCTCGCTCAAACCCGGATGGATATGGTGAGTGAGATATCCAGATGATTAGAAAAGAATTTATTTTTCATTTTTAACATTTGTATAATATGAAAATAAATTATATCATGCAGGCGTCAACCCAAACTCGTTAGATCACTCCACAGTGAAAAGTATAACAATTGAAAAATATGATGGCCAAAATTGGGAAGCTTCATTCGATGAACAACTGGAGAAGCCTGTACCAATACAATCCTGGTCAAAATAGCATCATCAGTACAAGCAATGCATAATTGGAAAAATCATCGGTGCTTAATTACTAATCAATAAAGATGGTCCAAGAAATACCACATGGATCCATTGTGACCTGGAAATGCCAAGAGAATCATACAAGGCAGTTGCAGGCATACTACAATTAGGCGAATCAAGTTTATAATTTTGAGTATTCGACATCTGCTGGTGTTTTCTTTGCCATAAATGCTTGTGCTGATTTTGTAATATCTTCAGTCTGCAACATAGCTGCATTCCATGATGCCTGAACAGTGCAAAAATAACCATACTTATCCAAGTACTGGTTTCGTAAGGAGTCCTAAAGGATCTACAGAATTTTCTCAATGCATCGGGTTGATTTTTGAATAAAATTTCAATGTGTGCACATGAGCTGAAGAAGTAGTATTCCAAAAATAATTATTGGCTAATGTTTCAATCCAGTGGTATTGTTGAATGATTCTAAAAAGTTTGTCGAGATGAGTGCAGATTCCAAATTGGAGAAACTTTTTTGCATCAGATTATCAAACATTGGCATGTGTAATCTCAAAGCACTTTGTTCATAATTATCATTATTCTGCAAAGGATAATTGGATATAACATTATTACATACCATATAATCCAGCCCCTCCTGTGTTGTGTGATCCCTTGAGTAATTCATATGTATTTTGGTGCTTTGGACCGCAACAGGACTCTTGGTTGCAATAAGAGAAGCTAATTCCATGGCCGCTTCCATCATAGAATCTTTATCATCATAAACTCGACTGAAAAATTTCGTTTTAACTATCAATCCAGTGGAGCACCAGTAGCCCCAAAGATGATAACCGAGGCAGTAAGTCAGTAACTAAAACTTATAGCTAGAGGAGGAAAGCAGTTACCTGACCAAACCTATCTGTTTGGCTTCATCCGCTTCTAGTTTTCTGGCGGTTAAACATAGTTCTCTTGCAACACTGTCATTACCAATTACTTTAGGCAGTCTTTGCAAAGTTCCAACATCAGGGGCCAAACCAACATCAATCTCCTAAGTTGAAAAAAAAATATTATGACAAAAATGGAACCTCACTCCACCTGATTAAAGTCTCAACTTGCATTATAAGAGATTAGATTATGGTATTTCGCAGTGTTGTACATCAATACAGCCTATTTCAAGTTATTGCTGCAACAATCTATAGAATTTCTCATACTACATCAATCTGCTCATTGGATCGTTGTTTATTGGAATATTAGCTATGCAGACTTCCTCAAAAGTTCCTGACTCAAGTTTACCCAACGCTATTATTTAGTTGTTATAAGCACCTGCACAACCGATTTCAACTTATTCAAGCATCCTTGTTACACCTAGATCCAGCAGTACAAGGAACATTGGAATGAAGGATAGGTAGTTTGGTAAAACAATCCAATCATTCAGCTTTGGGGTGATTTCAAATCATATACATGCAATGTAAATTTAAAATGTTATATCATCACTTGTCCGTTTGTCAAATAATATGCGCTTTATATTTTATGAAATTCTCAACATACTTTGGCTAAGTAATATGCATCTTTTGTTTGAAGTCTGATATCACATGCTGTTATTGCATCTACACCAACTCCGATACAACCATTGTGAACTGCAGCAATCACAGGCTTTTGGCACTTGAATTGAAAACATGCAAAATTATATCACTGCAGTAACGAATATACCTTAGCGCAGAAATAGGATTCGTTGGTGCAGAGTCTCACATCACAAGCTGTGATTAGATCCACTCCTCCACCCACACAACCACCATGGACAGACACCAGCACTGGTTTGCTGCACTGTATAATTGTGTTATAAATTAAGAACTACTTTTGACCAAAAATGAAAGGATCTTTGTTTGGTATACAGATGTAATGCAGTCTTGCAATTTACAGTAATAAGGGTTGCTAATGCCAACTTGCTATAGCCCTTTTTCATTGTGGGAAAATTGTACCAGTTAAGACTTGAAAATATGAGCGAATTTTAATAACAGTTTTGTATATGAACCAATTGCATTTTAGATCTAAGAATTAGTCTTACTTTTTTGCAATCAATATATTAGAATTTGAAACGATTTAAGACTCGTCAAAATTCTTTCCATGAAACTGATATCAAAAATAATAATAACTAGTAGCCACCCACCCGTTCAATAGAATTGCAACTTTCTTGAGCGAACTTGATAAAACCATGTATTCGAAATGCATTCCTTGCAACGTCACTGTTTGGATCTGGGGCAAGTGATGATGCAGCAGCCATGAGGTCCAGACCTAAAGCAAGACAATTTCACTGTTACAAATGAGGAAGGAATGAAAAAACAATGAAAGACATATCACCAGCACCTGCTGTAAACATTCTCCCTTTTCCCGATACCACAATGGCTCTTACATTGGAGTCTTTGGCTGCAATATCAAAGCATGATATCATATCACTCCACATTTGGTTGTTCATTGCATTCAACTTGTCAGGTCTGTAAAGAAACAAAAAGATTTTGGACTTAATTGCCCTTGATAAACTTCATCATTTATATATAATCATTATAGACAAGCTTACCTGTTCAATTCCACATGAAGTACAAAGTCCTTTGGGGATGTTACAGCTAGTGTTTCAAACTTATAGTTGCCAACATCCGCTACATTTGCAGACATTGGTCTGACAGCTAAACGTTTCATGGCTAAAAACAAAGAGTTGAGTGTAAGCCATATTTAAATTGACTATAGTATTCATCATTCTTTTTAACTGCTTGATCTCCCATGATAATGGTTATTCATATTCATTCTCTAGGGTTCAGAAACGAAGTTTTTCATATGAATATATATATCACTATATTAAATTATGGCTTACCATTCATGGTCTGCGTCATTATTCGAGATGATGACAACATTCTGTATGTTAAGTTAGACAATGTCTTTGGCAATTACCTTGTATTTAATAGTTAGAAAATTGGCAAATATCATTAAGATGCTCACAAATGATTTGAACGAAACATATCAATGTAATTGGATTAGGATTTCCAGCTTTCACCGACGGGTGTCGTTATATCCCAGCTTGCTTGAAGCAAGTGTGAAACACCTATTGAAGATATTGAAATAAATTATGCATTTATCTTACACGAGTTATATTATAATTGTTTATCACAGTGAAGTTGTTATTATCTGTTGCCATTATAGAAAAAATTTCCAATGTAACACAACCAACAAATATTGATACTTTAAATTGCAAACATCAGCATTGATCAATGTTTTCACTGGGTACTCGGTATTATTTATTTGCTTTGAATATAGTTTCATGGTGGGGCTCATCCTTATAATACTTGTTTCTCAATGTTCTGTATTTTTTCAGCATATACAATGCTTCAAGCTCCTTTATGATGTAATCCCCATGTTTCAACAACTGTTTGATTTTTTCTGGATCTTGGACATCTTTGTTTTTCATAAATGCATTGTGGCATTTATCACGAAAGTATGTGGAACCGAGCGGATAATCCTTTCCCATAAATACAAGATTTTTATAAAGCGTTTTCACAGCATAACGAAGTTCCCTGGCTGATGACATCCTTGAACCTTTTCTTACATTGTTTTAACAATATCTTATCTCTAAACTAAATAACTTGCAAGACAAAAACATCAAGATTATCCACAAATATGTAATGATTGCAATTAATTTTCTTTTAACACACATAAGCACAATATCCGGTCTTCTTTATGTCACAAATAAATCAAAAAAATCATGATGCAAATAAGAAAATCTTTTTCTTGCACTCTGGGTATAATTATAAACAAGTCACTAAATCGGCAAAGAAAATCGAATATTCACACTTTTATGCTGCTAGAAGGTACTCTACAAATTTTCCATTTGCCTCGTAATTTTTCATCAGATGCATGGAGTCTGTACATTCAGCAAGACTGATACCAGGTACTTTGTCTATTAAACATAAAATGTGGACCAATGTTACACTCCAATAACAATTTCTGCAAATACCCATTTCTTGAAAACTTTTGCAAGTTTCATGGAGCATGAACTACGGTAACTTATATATCATTTGCAATTCATGTATTTCAAGTATGCCACTCAGATAAATTTTATAAACTGACAAGACAGTGCTTTTGATAAAATTACAAGCAACAGATATGGCAGGTCAGTGGTGGATACACAAGGATTTTGAGGTATTATTACAACAAGCTAGCAAATTATCTTATTAACCTAAGTGCCAAATAGTACATAATTAGAAAAATTGTTTGCCATTTCAAATACCACACATTATCATTTTCTCAGTCTCATGGAAAATTTGTCTGGTTACTTGTCAAAACAAATACAAACAACTCGTTCACCCAACACATATCAATACCATTGCTGAAACTAGGTCCTTGTGATACCAACTGCCACACCATCCCAATTTCAATAACTGGGCAGGGAAGTAGGAATAGACCATGAAAGAAATAAATGCCATGATAATTCAATGAGTATCAGTGCATAACGCACTACACAACAAATGCTCTGCGATTAGAGAGCATGAAGGCAGCTACACTATATTACGACAATGTGAAAAAAACAGCAAAGACGAATGACATTGATTTTCAGAATAAAAAGCAAAAGTCAGACACTGAAAAAAACTGTATTATCTAGCATCATCGTAAGCAAGATTAGCACAGAATGAAATTTAGTTTGAGTTGGAAATGCAACATGAACAAGTCAGTCAACCAGTGGAACATATAGGAAATAATATTAATACTGCAACATTTCATTCCCTATGAACAAGAACAAACATTCCTAGTAATGCTAACACTGCATATTTTAGTTTAGGATAATCATTCATCAATATAGTCACTATCCCGACATATGGGACAAAACCCCGTGCCCTTCCCACGACATCTTTCCGTTCAACCCACAGTTGGCCGGGCTTATATAGTCCTCTATCATCGACTGAATTGTTGTCACCTTTGGTGAGAAATTTTACTTTGCCATCCTCCCGCTCATGAACCTTTATGGTCCTATGAACGATTGGGATGTCACGTCCTTCAATTTTAAAAACAACAATTTCGCCTGCGCGAATTGGGTCTTGTTGGTAATTAGTGAGAAATAGTAGATCTCCTCTGTAAAACGCTGGTTCCATACTGCCACTCAAAACAACAACAATTGGACTTTCGCTGCCAGTCACAACCATCATTCCCTTCCATATCATCAGCGCTGAAGACACAATCATTCCGAAATTCAAAACTTGAAAATACAGTTGTCTTTTGTTCAATCGTCGCATTTCATCGATGTACTCCATAGCGCTCGAACTTTGATATGTGATTCGATATGACAGACAGACAGAAAACGACAGAACAGGCGACTGACCAGGAATGAGAGGAACGGGAGCTCGACGTGTACTTTTGGATGTTACCAGAAATTTTTCACATGGATATAAAATGTCCATATTTTTGTAGTTTTCTTTTAATAAGTAACAAAAATTGATATTTTATAATTTATTTTTATATAAAATGTAATTTTTCACCGTTTTGCACGACACGTTTAATTTATTCAATTGGAAAGTTATCGCCATAATCTGGCATCTCATATTATTTATGCTTCATTTTCTATATTATCACGTCACATATATTAAATCAGCTGTAGCGTACTAGTTCTGTTTTCATTATCCACTGGCGTCTCCAAATTTGAACTGTTGTGATCTTTTCATTGGATGATGTTGATTACATAAAAAGTGTCCGCCAAGTTGATGTGCCGACGGCAAGGTGAGCTAGAACGGGCATTAGTGTTTTATATACTCGATTTTTTGGTATTCTGTTTACTTTTGTTTTAGTGCTCTTGTCTTTTTACCTTAATTAATAGTAATCAAAAAAAGTCATTTACTTACAGACAGACAGAAAGGCTGAAATAGGCTACTCGAACATTCGCTGCATGAACTAAGAATTTGTATAATGCCCGCTGAAGAAAAAGATGGTGCAGCCGTTCAAATAGGTATGGCGTATATTTATGTTGTTGTGATTTACCCGAAGTTGACCATGTTCAACCGTGTTTCTGTATGTGCAAAAATAAAATTGTAACAAATATTCAGTATGTCACCCTTCACCGGGAAGAAATCCGACATTTCTCTCCAGCAGTGTTTAAATCTTCAAACGCTACCGCGTGATTGGCACTTACTCTGTTGCTACATATATATTTACAGGTAGAAACAAACGTATTTTGGCAATTGGCTCCGCTGTCATCCTTTTTGCCGCAATTGGAACTTTGATCGTTGTTATCACAGGTTAGTATCTTACAAAAAATCCTCGTTCTTTGCCAAATTTCACGTTAATAGTATACAGCAATAAATACTCTTGTACGATTATTCATCAAAATGCAGATCATAAGTAGCAATTACTGATATACTAGTTGCGTTGCTGCGAGTTAGGTCGCTTGACAACATACTTTTTATTGATGTTCTTGAAGCGAGTGTAACTAACTTTTTCACAATTAAATTTGTTCCTCGAACGAAACGATTTTTTTTTGCCTGTCACTCAGCTAGATTTTCTCTCCTAATGGGTCGAACTGGGGGACTACCATGCCATTCGTGTCGCGCGATTTTTATGTTTGGTTATACCGTATTTGACTTGGTGAAATCTAGGAACGTAAAATCATATAATTTTTTTCAGAAAAGGGGGTTACCAATATACAAATTTGCTAATCTTATAATAAAATTCGACTCAATTTAAAACATTGTCAGTTGTCACTCAGTAAGAATTCGAAAATATATTTGATTTTGAACCCAGTTTTAAAATTCATTTTTCGTTATATTTCAGCGCCTACCCATGAGATCAATTCATGCCAAGCAATAAGGAAAGCGTCTGCTGAAGGTCGGGATTTCACCCTTGAATATGACGTGGCGGAAATAAATGCGTGTGAAAGTAAGAACCAAGATTCTAAATTGAAAATATTTATATATATTATTTTGAGCCTTGACTATAATTATGAATTATTCTCAGATTACGGTTGTACTTTCGATGTATCTGCTTGCGACATTCCGTGTCCATTGGGTTTCGAAACAGATGATAACAGATGTGAAATAAGCTGCCGTTGTTCGTCTGACTCAAAAGGGACGTTCCAGGGAGACATACAGTTTGATGACACCGAAGTTAACGGGCTGCTAGTTGTAAATACATTTTATATGGATTGAAATGATGAAATTTGGTACTTGTGATCTCATTTTAGTTAAAGTCATAGAAAAAGTCACCTGGTATTCAATATTTCAGAGATATGGCTATGCTTCTCGTGAACAAACGTTCGCTGTTTTCTCTAGTTCTGTCAGAGAGTCAGCGATTTTGTGGGCAGAAAAAATAAATGACCGAATCAAGATCCCCTATACAATTGATGAAACGTTAGGTATGAGGATTTGCTATCTCTTTCCATTTCCAAAAGTGAATGGAGTTTCTATCAATTGAAAATATTTCAGGCGAAAGTAAACAAGCGATTCAAAAAGCTATTTCGGAATACAAAGAAAAGACTTGTATAGATTTTGTTCCCAGAAATTCGGAAGAAAATTATGTGACGTTTCAGTCAGGGGTTGGGTGTTGGTGAGAGGCTTGCTTATTCTATAGTAAACAGAATTTTGATGGAATAGGATTCGAATTCGAACGAATTGGGAGTTCTGTGTTTTTGGTGTTCATTATCTAACAAGATCATCAAATAGATTTACAGAGAAATATAGCTCTAACCTTTTTATATTACTCGAACAGCGAAGGAGTATATAGAAAAGGGAATTCTGTTTAATTGGTGAGTTGGAAAATACTTCAAAACGAATATATCACAACGCACACATGAGTGTAAAGCAGAATTAACATAGGGAGTAGCCAGTATCCCCGGTGATATAGAGACGCATCACAATATGAAAAAATTCTCTTTCAATGAAAACGTATCTGATGTTTGCGAGACGGTGTTGACGACGCGTATATCAATAACCACTCAGCATCAGCATGGTTGCTTTTTAATCACTGGGATCGCTAACAAGTAGTTCTTTTTCTTCCAAAGCTGAAGAGTTGAATCAATATTTGTGTTTGACACAGACGCACTAAATTTAAGTTTTTGTTGGGGCTTCAAGACTATAAACTTGATACCAAATGATATGTCTATTATGTTCGCTTATCATTCGAGATTAAATTGTGCGTACGATTTACAATTAGAAATTGGACTTATCATGACACATTTTAAAGATAGTTTCAGGATTAGTCCTTTCAATTACAGGTCAAGAGTTGGAATGATTGGTGGGCAACAAGATGTTGCAGTGGGGAAAAATTGTAAATCAGCCGGAATAATCATGCACGAACTAATGCATTCTATTGGATTTGAACACGAGCATACAAGACCAGACAGAGACGCATTCATTACTATTGATATGAATAGAGTAGATCAGAGTACGTAAGTTTTATGTTGTTAATTTGTTTGGAATATACCGGTATTCAAAACACTCATAGAAATCCAGGTGCAGCACGTTTGAAAATGCCTTGAATGAAAGCTGAAATGTAGATTAACGAACCGCCTGTCAATGTTACTATTAAATTCATGAAACTCTTACATTACTATTATTTTGTCTCTCGTGGAATGTTGTCTTCAATATCTTGGCGTTTCTGCACCGCTTAATTTTGCAAATTCGCTCTACCTCGGTAAGGCGCCAAGAATCCTCGGACCTTGATGGAAAAAAGTGTTTTTCCGCCGAAAATCGTAATCTTGTTGCAAAATGCCCAATGTTTCATTTTAAATATAAAAACTGCTATTTTCGATTTTTTATTTTTACGTCACAAGTATATAACTCTTTTATTGTGAATCGTTTGATGCGAGAACTGTGACATTTTAATATGCTATAAACAGATGCTATTTGCAGAGTATCTATTGAATTTTGCGAAGATATTGGACCCAGTGAAAAATCTTGGAAGGCCTTATGATATGGGTTCGGTGACACATTACGGAAGTAAAGCTTGGTCGATCAGTCCCGATGAATATTCATTTGTAAAAAAAGATGGCACCCCAATCAAGGGTCAAAGAAAAAGCTTGAGTACAGAAGATGTGAAGGAGATAAATGCATTATATGAATGTGCTGGACAAGGTGACGGCGGAGGCAACATTGAAGGGGTATCAGTTTTGTCTGTGTCCGCTTCGATGGAAGTCTCAGAAGATATCGAAAATGATGAACAATTCGGTCAGCCTTACGACCCAGACGCACCTCCAGAAGGTATGATTTGATTGCATAGGATTCTTTTAAAATTGTTCCCACATCACAATATGCCTCTCCCGACCAAGAATAAAGAAAATTCCTAATCTAAATCCTAATGCGATTAGGTGTTTTACATTTAGACGACATGGATGAAAACTTGTCATCAACAGAGTCAACTTCGACCGCTCAACAAACAGGAGGCGTCACAGTGTCTCCGTCATGTGAGTATGTATTTTCCTTTTCGTAGTTGAGAAGTTGGAAAAACAATATGTGTTGCAATAATGCTCCTGGCTGCTACACTTCGTAAATATTATCATTTTTACCAATATGATGTAAAGGCAACGTGATACGTCATTGGATCGCTAGTACCGATCATTAGCATATCATGCATGATCCTGCACATGTTTGGGGACGTGGCACAGCATAAATATATTAATCCGAAGAGTTTATATTACTTCGATCAAGCATATAGTATTACATATTACACAAACCATATGCCTCTTATTTTATAGCTCAAGCAGTTTTTGCACCCCATGATGATGTTTCATGGAGTGAATGGGTGACTTGGTCTGATTGTACACAAACTTGTGGAATAAGTGAAGCTTTACGATTTCGAAGTTGTATGGTATGCCTTTCCTTAATGGATTTTCAACATAACCATAGCGAAACCCTATCAGATATCACCAAATTACAATCGATCCAGGCGCTCGTAATTTTCCGATATTGGTCTCTACCAATATGCAAATATGGCACATTGATATGAATATATTCCAAACATTATTATGACAATGCATATACATTCGTTTCATTCCAAGGTTAATATATAAATCAAAAGCATGACAATTATTGCGTTGCCAACAAAATTATGATCATGAATCAATTTAGCCGTTCAGATGTTTTTCACGTATTTCATCAGTACTTCTAAATCAGTGATTCTGAATTATATTAACTTACTAGAATAACTTACGGACCAATACTGTTACATTGGCACATCCCTCGTGAGTAGTAAATACGGACTTTATGCTTATGATAAATCGAGCAAGTGCCACAAACAATTCTGGCCACAGTTTTTTAAAGTAGGCTATATAGATAACTATTCGGTATAATTAGCGACCTTATTTGGGTAATAATCTGCAGCAAAGGGATGGATTTTCTGGTTGGGGATGCGAGGGAGAATGGTATGATACGAGAAAATGTGAGAAGGATGCATGTCCTGGAAAATTTGGAGAATGGCAGCCATGGGAATCCTGGGAGTCTTGCAGTAGAACTTGTTCAATGGGTTACCAATGGCGGTGAGAATTACTTTATTTTGAATATATTGCTCGAAGCAAGATTGCAAACACTTACACAATGTCAACAATAAATGTAAAAACTACTGTAAAGCAAAGTAGCTTTTTAGTAATAGAATATTAATACCTACCCAATGAAGACAAGTCGAAAATACGCCATAATTAAATGGATAACAAGACATTAATAGTCAATAATTTGGCATGGAGCGTAAGAAAGTGATTGATGGAGGAAGTCGCATGGAGTCGGTGCTTACTTGAACCATCCCCCACTGGACATCCCACACTGGTCACCTCATATACGACCGAAAAGGCTGCAAAATGTCAATCGGAATGCCAGCAATGATTGACGTAAGATTGACTCTGGATAAACTGGTATGTCATATTTCCGCGCGACTACTGAACAATTCCACAAGATTAAATTAATCAAATGTATCATTGTAGCTTAACTTTATAACATTATTTTAGAAATCGAAAATGCCCTGATGGTGAATTATGCGAAGGATTCGGTATAGATGGAAGGTATTGTCAAAAACCTGAATGCTGAACTTGAAATGAATTTTAGTCGTATTATAGTTCAATATAAGTATATTTTAAAGTTGTAAAATAATAAATTAATTATATATTCATGTGTTTGGCAAAATTTTTCGGCAAAATTTCAACTGCCTATGAATCATATCTATTTTTTTTTTACTACTTTTCAGCTTGGAGGAATTTTCGAGTAGGTATTTAATTGCGAGAATGAAATACCAGCGTTTCACAAAGGTTTGTGCTAAATTGATAAAGTAAGTGAATTCGACTTCTGATTTTTATAGGGCCGAATAATTACTGCCTTCTTGGTGGTAATATCGAAAGATTTCGGAGATGATCGCATCGCTTTTTAAATAAAATCGTACGAAGACGCAGCAAAAGTCTTTTAATCTGTCGAGAGCATTAAACAGCCGATCCACTTTTGCTGGCGATTAAACAGTCGCGGCAAATAAACAGCTATTTTGCTAGTGATGTCATCAATCCCCATCCAAAGTAAAGTTCCTGGATTTGACACGGGCTAGTACCTCCGAACAGCCCTAGTGCGATCGGCGCGCGACCTACCTTAGCTATTTTCCTTAACAGCTAAAATATGCCGCATACCTCATATGTATCAAAGTATAACCATGTAACAAATTCCATTGCATACTGTGGATGATTTATTTAGCGCCTAAAATACAATTTAAATTATAATACAGAGAAGTGCGTCGGTGCAAATTCGATATTACAAATAAATGTGTAATGAAAATGTAAAGTTGAAGAATAAAAACGCAATAATATCATGATCAAAACAGTAGGATTCGTAAACGACTTTCGCGCTGTAGTTAAGAGCTTTGTGCAAAAATGTGGAAATTATCTTCGAAAATTCTACACAAAACAGTAGGATTCGTAAACGACTTTCGCGCTGTAGTTAAGAGCTTTGTGCAAAAATGTGGAAGTTATCGTTGAAAATAGTTGAAAATTCTACACCCTACTAGAGGCAACTAAGAATATACTGTTTATAATCCAAAATTTTAAAATGATTCGCCCGAAAGTTTTTTCACTTTCACATATGTTCGGTCACAAATTCAATGTGAAGTACACAGCTGTGGTAGAATTTGAACTCATTTCAACGAAAATTATTTGGTCGTTACGTCATTTCCATTACCTCGTACCCAACTGCAGTCACAGATTGCCCAGAGAATTTCCTGTTTCTGGACTTTTGATAAAATTTCCAGGTTTTATAAATCACTACTAAAATAATGTTATAAATAGTTTGCGATATTGAGTATAACAGGGGGATGGTAATAACAGCCATGAACATATTCAAACGGTTTCCATAAGTTAAAAAAACAACATTTGTCGAAAGACTTCCATTCTGTATTGACGTTTCAATTGCGATCGTTCGTCTTGCTTCCCATGACAATTCAAGTCTCGGAATGAGAGAGATGCAGAATGAAATCACCATGCCGGCAATTGGTAGAACTGCTATTGGCTGTAGTAAAGCATCAGTAAAATTTGATACAAACTAGTAAGCTTCTAATGATATTTATTTAATTTGCAACATAGAATTAAGCTCAAAGTTTACTGTAGTGGGGATTTCAAAATACCAATCAAACACAACTGACCGAAAAATATTTACATCAACATTAGGCAGTTCGCCGAGTTGTCACCAACAATAAAAAACATGTTACGTAAGAAAAGATTCATATGTAAAAATTGCGTTTTGAAAATGTGTCCTCAAAAATTATTAACTGCCGAATTCACCTCGGCCTTCTGCGGATAAAAAAAATGGCGGTGCTTCGAAATTTTCCTTCCCAATCGATTCGAATAATTTGCTACCCAACCCTAACGACGAGTTACCATGGGATAGAACTGAAAATTCTGTTCCGAAACTAATATATTCTCAAGAGTAAAACATTATTAGACAAATCACACCCACGCAATCCGATATTGTCGTTATATATATAATAATAGAAATTAATTTACCAGTATAGTCTTCACCGAGAATACAATTGGAATGTCATTTCTTATCAACATCGCTGCAACAATTGCAACCAATAGAATAAATCCGAATATTGCACATCCCTGAGAAATAGGGGCGATATAAGAAATAAATATAAAATCGGGAAAAATAAATACGCTTTGATAATATGTGTTATTATAGTCACTCCTACGTGAACATTTACGGCATTCATAAAAGTTGCCTTTTATATGTGAACAAGGTCTGCTTGGCTTTTATGAAATGATGAATTCAACAAAAATTTGTTGTTTTCTTAAATTCGTTCAATGATAATGATCAAATTCAATAATATCAACGGCTCCACTAAGGTTAGTGAACCTGGCGATGCCTAAATAAATAAATATAGCTTTCTCGAGCAAGCTATAGTTTGAATTCTAAACGAGCTTTAGCAGGAGTAATAATGTCATATATATTTAATAGTTCAAGTATAACAAATACCATATCATCATAAAATACTGTCAATAAATGATTTGATTTTACTATAGTGTCATATCTGTAACGAAAAACTTTTCTACAGTAAAGATCAAATCTAAATTTCTCCAACATCGCTAAAAGATAGCACAATAATATCCAATCCAATTGTAGCAAGGCGACCATCCTGCTCACAAGTAATAACATGAATACCCAGCGAATAGAATAGTTATGTCGAAAATCGAACTGACCTTTGCTAGATATTTGGCTATTTTGACGAACTTGTATCGAAATAAGATTCCGGCAACAATTGGAATGATCAAACTTGCTAAAGTGATCCCTGGATTAACAAGAAAATTCTCAATTTTCATTAATGCCTTTTTGGTGTGGCGTCGGAGAAAAAAACTAAGGCATTGACCAGCAGAGATGGCGATACTTTTTTACTGAATGGGGTCACACATTGCATTTTTATTATGAAAAAATAACCCTCTGTATCTATAAAATCCGTGTGTGAAAACATGGATTTGCTTGAATATGAAAAACATAAAAGATATGGCAAATATTTCATGGTTCCACTCAGAACTATATTTTCCGCTCGGACTCGACTATAGTAAAGTCACTACCATCTGTAGCCAAACTTTCATCACAGGTTTCTGCATATCGAGACCATTGACCATTATAGTAGCCCACCTATTGTTATGCCTAACTAAAGACATGCCAACCTATATGGATGTCAACAGTATCCGATTTTAACATAATTCTATCATAATATAGAAATTTAATATCCATTCTACTAAACGTAAACAAGTTCCAGCAAAACGATGTTATTTTCTTATGCTTCAGGTTCTATTCCAGAAAACTATACACGAATAGTCTAAAACAGTGTTTCCCAACCCGAGTCCTCGGTCTCAAATGAGTCCGCAACGAGCCAGAAATTCACTGCGGGCCGCAAACGTTTTTGCGAAACTTAACCATCAGCCACGATTTACGTTAGAAATTACATAAAACATAAAAAAGCAAGTTTATCCATATAACATTAATCGAGTCAATAATTTCTGGATACTGAATGAGTACGGCTTGGCATATATTCGAATATTCAACTATTAGAATAGCAATTTATTATTCGAAAATTTGGTAACAGGTGACGCGTCAGGTCACTTGCGCGTCGTTTAATCAAACGATTGGATTTAGTCGTTGTTGTTCGAGGAATAATTTTTCTGGTAGGTGTCAATGGTGGCAACCTAAATTTTCTAAATTGAAAAGCGGCAATACAAAATACTGAAAATAATACTGAAAACACCATGAGTTTTTTAAAAACGCTTTTTTAGACATGTTGCAAATGCAAAATTTCGGGTGCTACCGTAGTATTCGTATCAGGGCATTTCCCTCAGAATTCTTTGCTTTACTGCAGGGTCCGCAACATATGGCCCGCGGAGCAATATAATCAGGCCCGCGACGTTTCTCTGAATTATAGTAACAAAACAGCTGTTTTTATGGTTATATTCTTTACGTGACAGAATTTATTTTGCGGCATGTTTAGACTAAATTATATCATAACCGAACAAGTATATAATTCACAATTACTCGTTGAATGAGCCTATAAATTAATTATAATTAGGCATTCAATGGCAACAAAACGCAGAAAAGTTGAACGCTAAGTGCAATTGGTTCAATATTTAAATGGTCAGTTTTTGGGCGCTGCTTAAAATTCAATTTCTGATCTGTATGGAGAAATGTGATGCATTGGTCATACGTCAGGCTTTTACCTTTCCAAAAATATGCGCGGCCAATCAATGACTTGCAACCTTTAATTTTGGCCTGCAAGCGACTTGACTTCTGGCTTTACTGTTGCACAAACTGCTCATATTTGTCGAATTCACAAAAATACGAATTAAAACAAAATATAATCGGACACTTTACCACGCATTTTTGTGTCCACGGATTGTCATGATATTTTCTGAATAGTATTGCTTTTATTTCGTCAACACAACCGCAGATTAAAATGATCACAATTAAATTAATATTAAAGCAAGGCGATGGATATTTTTTATTTTTATTTACCAATATACTAATTATATTTTTAATAAGTACTGAATCAGGTTGTACAACGGCGATAATAAATTCGCAAGATCGCAAATAATTTATATCAAAACTAAATATAACCGGGCAATATATTCTCACATTATTATGTTCGCAAATTGCCGTGGCATTTAAAAGAATTAATGCTTTCGTCTTGTCATAAGTCAACGCAACCGCGAATGACCATGAACACAATTAAATTAAAATAAGAACACATTTTAAATTTTTGTCGTTGTCAAGGATTGAATATTGTGCGACAGAAAAGGCCATTTATACACTAAATAAATCGGCCCTTTTAACATAGGCGTAATTTCCGAAATTTGGTGAAATTCTTTTGTGTTCGGTTTCATTACTTATTCGCACAGAGTACGGTTGCAATAAACTCACGTTGAGTCCGCAAAGGTTTTCGCCTACGAGAAAATAGTCCGCGACCAAAAAAGGTTGGGAAACGCTGGTCTAAAAGCTAATGGGTGATTATGCGTGTAACATATACGGGGAACAGGATTCTCCCACACAACAGAAACTTGCCTATAGTGGCAACCATGAATAATAAAAATGCTTACCTAATGAACTGTACGGAATTTGAATATTTTCATCAACCTCTTCAATCCACGTGTATAAAAAGAGCCACATGGGGACTGTTCCAAGGGCAAACAAATTGCTCAAAGTTGTCAAGGCAACACTGAAATATTTGTCATTGTGATACTATTTTTGAAATTTGATTACTTTAGTATTCGATTTTGCAATTCTGTTATGTTTACATGCTTTGAAACTATATTATTTACTCGTAACTAAATAGTTAACAAAAGTTGAAAGGAGTGTATGAATAAATCGCAATAATTATGAACATAATGATAACAGCAATGCATATTTCATTGAATGAAATGTCTAAAGTCTAATTATACATCGCTGACTGGATGACAAATCTCTACCTATGAATCACTTAATATATATACACATACATTCGCTGGTGATTTACGGATAGCCATCATTACGAAATATGAGATATTTTTGCTATTTAATTTTGTCACTTCATTAATTTTCGGCAGTATTATCAACACAAAAAACACGAGTTTATCCTTGTAAGTCTCCAGCTAGGACTGCTTGCTCACCTTAGTGGCATATCTCCATCTACCATGTACGCTAGAATATTACTGAAAGTGCCGCCAGGACTACAGCCTACCACCATGAACGTGATTGCCTGTAATTCAGACATTGATGTCGCTTTTATCAATCCATACGCAATCACTGTAAAGAAATTAGTTTCGAGTTAATACGCATTCGGTGATTTTCCATGAATGCGAGGCAGGAAATTCCCATTAGGCCTGAAATATGACTTTATGAGAATGTACTTCCTATGAACTCAAATCAAAACATACACTGCTCGGGAAGTACAATGAAATTTTTGAAATTGGCTTACTAGGCATCATCAAAATTTGACATCCGAGTCCAATAAGAATTCCAATGGGTCTTTTAAAATTGTTAATCAATTTTTCATGGTCCACCGCGCATCCCATTCCAAACATTACGAGTGCGAGGATACATCTACAAAACGAGAGTAAGATAATGTGAACTATAAGCTCATAAATTCCACATTCGTATAATACTATAATACAATTTATTGTACTTCGATTTTATAGTGGTGTTTTGGCAATGAAACCAGGAGTCAGCCTATGCCTTGTGATATTGGCGGTTTCCAATACATACAACTATAAAGCAGTTTTGTGATTACGTCCAAGTAACATCGGTAACCAAAAAACATTGAATTGTGAAGTTTGTGATATCTGTCGCTTCTCAAAATCAGAGAAGTTTCAGAATCATAATATGTGGCTGCTTGTTCAAAGCAGACGCGTGAAACACTAAAGACTAAACACTCAAATATATTAAAGTGATTATCGTACTGAAACACACTCACGTCACAAGTATTTTAAACATTTCAATCTGGGGGTCAAATTCATATCCCGCCGTTGTATTCCCGAATGTCGTTGCATTTCCTGCTGTAGTGGTAAATTCCATGTCCAATGCCTGTGTCGGTTGGCGAATGAATAGCTTTGTGGGATTTTTATACAGGAATCTCTAACCAAAAGGCTGTATATAGTCTATTCCATTTCTACTGCAGGCTTTCACTACAAAATGATCCAAGACTATTTCAAATTAAATATCACGCTATAGCTGTTAACAGAAAAACGATTTGTCATCAAACTGACTCATAAAAAAAACATTCATATTACGTTTGAGAGAGTGCACATAATAATTAACTATTTTTTGGATCGCAATATGTTTGAAGACATATTTAACAAAGGCTAAATCAGTACCAGTATCTGGGCAAAAATCCACGACAATAAGTGGAATATTATATGGCTATAGTTTCCACAACAAAAACAGATGCTGTCCTGCTTGATTTCGCTATGATTAAGGCAAGTTTGACCTATCAGTGTCAAAAATCTGACACACAGCTTGCTAAAATATACGTTGAAATGTTACGTCACTTTGATGATATTATTCGTAACTGTGTAACAAATACCGGTACGTAAGCGCCAATATGTTTCAACTGAAAAATACGATTAGACATTTTGCACAACTCTCGTCCAAATATTGTTTGTGACACTCTATAATTCTATAAGATGATTTACACAGCATTCTTCTGGTACAAATTATCATTTCGCTGATCAAAAAGTAATGACATACATAACATTTCATGAAACTGTCCAGAATATTTTTTTACCTAAAATATGGCCAATTATGATCTTGTAGGGCCTACTTTCTACAAAATTGCTATAGCTATAATATTCTGATATATATGCATGGCCCAAAAGCGGAATTATGTCCGTACGTGTGCATGAGCTTGCAAGAGCTGAACGTTCCCATCTTTCTGTCCTACCCGATAAGGGCATTACTGCTACGTGACTGTATTTTCTCGCGGTTCGTGGACGTGGTTCATATTCTCATATACACATAGACGCCAGTCCCTAATTAACTAATTATTTCATAACTAATTAACCACCTATGTTGGAAGTCAAGCCTTAATCACTTTCTACCACGACTATCTAATAAGCCTGAAAGGTAGTAGTATAGATTAAGTTACGTACTGAATTTCCGCTTTCAAGTAATTTCTGACAAATATGTTGACGTATCGAATTCAAAATAGATAGTAAATTTGCCACATTACCTACCTCAATTCGCACATGTATTATATCGAGGAAAACTGTTTCTACCGCTTGCCAATCACCAAACATATTTTATGCCTAAGGAAAGGTTATTTTTCTGCCTGCTGTCGAAGCATACGGTTCCGATGTCATATAAGGAATTCCCCACCGAAGAAAGCGCTCGATTTCATCATACAAAACTAATTTTATAACTATGTATATACAATGCAGTAGAAATGTACTCAGTTCACCCAAGTCGATCTGTGCGCAATGTACCGAATAAATAAAGCATTTTAGGCCTCACAATCAAGAAAATGTTGTTGTTTAAAGTCAATTTATTTCTGTCAGCAAATCACTAGAGCGAGGCGTAACTTACTGAGAAGTACCGTATCACGAAATCCTTCAGTGTTCCATACTATAATACGCCTTCGCCTTAATTTGATCGAGGTACTACGCGGAGTAACGATGAGTATTGCGTTCGCTAAACTATTTTCCGGTGCCAAACAATGACCGCGCTTTTGATTGTGAATTCAGGCATGCCTATAACGACGTATTATAGTTTGAATTTATGAGTTTCGGTTCGAGTAATTAATACCATTTTGACGTATTTTAGAGGTATTTATCACAAGCATTACTATTAAAAAATATATATAAGCTTTCAAGGCAGCAATGTTTCATCTTGTGCTGAGCAGAAATTGCTTAGGAATGCTGGAATTTTTGTATAACGGCGAATCTTAAAATTTGATAGAATTGTTTTATTTTGAAGCTGCTGAGAAATTCTGGAATAAATGGCTAGGATTCTGCTCCCCTACTCCCGCTTTGATGCCTGTCTTGTCATTCTGTGACATCAAACCTTTTTAAGCTAACGCTAATTGGTCCTGGTTTTGCATGATTCAAACCGTTACATGCATAGAAAATAAACCGGATCTTTTGTACAAAGCCCCCGCAAAAACAGCCTCGCCAACGCTGAAAAAAAGAAAATTAGTAATCATCTTGTCAGGGTTTTCGTTAGTGATGCAGACTGCGCTGGTACTTCAAATTTTATAATCATTCCTAACCCCAACTGGATAATTACTAATTTGTTATTTGAAAACATACGGGCGGTTTTTCTCGAATCCCACATTTTTGCATTAATGGCGGAGGCATTGTACAAAAGATTCAATAAACCTTTTGGATAATCTAATCATATGTTTCTAATAAAGGAACTGCCATCAAACACTCTGGTAATAACTGGTGTTCCTGGCATATACATGTCACAAAAAATGTCCATGCTTAATTATGATGAGAGGCACATGAAAGGAATTATTTGCCCTGGGTTTGAAAATCTAATGGTGCATCACCCACATCAAATGGTGCCCAAAATAATTTCTGGCAATATGTAGAAAATGCGTACAGAATCGAAAAGCTTAAGAAGCACCGCGTAAGGACGATACTGTCGGAAAATAGGTTGGATATTTGTTTCAAATACGTAAATACTACAAATAGTTATCATTATATCGAAAATTAGTATGAACTATGTCACTCCATGAATTGTAGCATTAATAAAATTGATAGACATATTAGCTCAATCGATAAACAAGCGCAATCTAATCTCGTTTTCTTTCTAAACTACACTTCTCTTCTGACACAACTAGTCGTTTTGAAATGTGATAATGTTCTTCTTTTCGGGATTGACTGACACAACTGAAAAACGCTTTTCTCATTTCATGAGTCAGCACACGCACTATTGTTATGAAATTATTGAATATCCAATGACAATGGCTAAGAGCGAAAACTTTGTGGAAGTCTGTTTTTATTGTACGTCCATTTCGCATTTGTCACGAGACTATTGTGTAAAGGAGGATTAACACCCTCCCTTTTGTTAATCTGAAGGCGATGTTATTGTAATTCTCAATTGACCTAAATATCATAATAAAAGAATCTCAGCAGTTGGTCATTTTTGGTAAGTGACGTGCATGTTCCCAATTAGTAAACTTGATTTTTCATTTCGCATCGTAATACACATAGTATATTATTATTTTTATGACTCTGTTGAAGTTACATTTCTTGGCTGAAATATTTTATTAAATAATTTCAAGTCACACAGCACGATTTTGTCACATTGAAGCTACATCATACGCTGTTAACCAGGTAAAAACTTTTCTTCAATAAAAATGATATTGTTTTAGCAGCGATCGTTCTTTAACATGTTTATAACTTTAGGATATACTTTAATTGCGGGGTTACCTAACTACGAATGTAGTATTCTGGTATAAAAACATGCTTATATATATATGCTATACCAGGGCTTCCCAAACTTTTGAGCTCGCGGCCCCTTTTAACATATTAAAATTTTTAACGGCCCTTGTCCACGTTGATAATGCTAAACAGTTCGAAATATGCATTTTTGATATCTTATTTCACAGCTAATTCTCAACTAATATTATATCCCTACCAAATAAAAAACAAGCACACATTTATTCAAATTAACGTTACTCAATTATTCAGTGTAATGGGTGCGAATGCTTTTGCTGTATAGCAAGTCCAGCCGTTGTTCAATGTTTGTTTATGCAGGCCTAAATGATGAATTATGATGTCTGGCCAGTGGCCACTGACGACATGGTCCTCATCTCGAGTTGTTCACTCTTATAGATCGAACTTAGCGTAAGGCAGCGGTTTGTGCGACGCCAAATTATCAGGGGAAAAACTCATGGCGCACCTACACGAAAAATATGCTGCCTCAAAACAAAACACAATTTTGTCATCGCTAATATGTACTTTATGTCTTTTGAGGGTTTTAAACATGTAGGTCTAAGAAATAAAGGCAAAAGGTTAACGTTTCTTTCTTATCTCTGCCAGGTTTTTCTTTAAAATGCTAAAAAAAATCACGTTTGATAATCTCGGTTCAGCAAATGAATAAACTGCAGCCTATGAAATTGCAGCATGTAGGGTTTACCTCTTATCTTACGTGTAACAGAAAGTAAACAACAAATGGTAAAATGAATTTGATTCTATTACAATCATTATTTGATTCCCAGATACTGTTTGTTACGGGCTATCTTAGATTCTATACTTCACTTTTGGTCTCCTAAATTGCTATATTATAACTCTTTTTGAGACTTACTGTGAATCTGATTGTCATATCAGGTATTTTATGTATTTATTGCGTTATTTTTGTTTTGCTTATGTTTATTTGTTGTGTTGTTTTTATATGGACCACAGCGGTCTGGAGTAATAAACGAATTGAATTCAATTTGCAACAATCAGAGACAATAAAACATTTAGAATAAATATAGGCTAATATCGTCACGCTAATAACCGAATTGCGTAAGTCATTTTTAGCAGTTTTGAGAAAAACGTAAAAAACATCCTAATGATTTTGTTATGCCATTGAGAGTCAATAATCTGCCATGGTTCAATTTTTTGATCGTAGCCGGATTTAAGTTAATTTGTATGACGCAGTTAAGTGACGTCATAATGGCGCACTGTGACTTAGGCAGAAATGTGTCTATGACTTGGGGACATACGCAATTTTGCAACTTTACTATATGCACCATTCCTGAAAACTAAACATTCCAAAAACGAATGTAATTCTCAGTATCTACGATGCCCAATCCCCAAAATAGCCAACCAGTCTGAATTACATTATTTTTTATGTTTAAAAATATATATTTCATCAATATACCACGTTCTGCACACCCACCGAAATAAGATTAAGATTAAATATAAAGAATAAAACAGCAATGCATCCAATATAAAAGCCAACCAAGGTGAATTGAAATCGGACAGTGAATATCACAAGTGCACGCCTTCCTATACCGTAGTATAAATTCAAATTAATACGCGCTAAGCCAGAATCCGAGATGCAAAAACTCGAAAATACTTCGCAGAGGTTATTTTTTGTCTTTGTGACGTCACAATAGTCCAGCGGTAACAATGATAATTCATTATGACGAAACAATTGCACAAATGTGCATGACATACTAAATCTCCATTTTTATGGGTTTCGGAATTCTTAAAATAAAATCTGAGTTAACAGACAG